CTGACTGGCCCCTTCTCAGCAGCGTGACCAGGCTGAAATGTGACTTTGAAGCCGTCTTCCCTAGCTACCCAACCTAAAGCATCCTGCCCACCACGCCACACCATCCAACTCGGTTCCCTACATAATGCCCATGACACTTTCACAGTTGTTGATTGGGTGACTGGTTGGACCCCTACATCAGAACATGGGCTGTGGGAAAGCCAGGCCTCTCTTGCTGGTTTAGGCGATTTCTCCCTCCTCACACTGCTCCTTTGAGATGTGTGCCTTTGGGGTTGGCCGCCTCCCTCTCGTTACTGACATCCTCCATCCTCAAGAGGCTCTCATTTGCTGAAAATGTTAGCGCCTGCCCCAGTCTTCCCCTTTCCAAGGCCAGTCATTATTCTCAGGATGGACCCTCCCCGCAGGAACTCTGCACACTACTCTGGCCTCTTCGCTCACTAAGCACGTCTTCAGTGAACTTCTCTACCCTACCTGAGCCAACCACACCCAGTCACACACGGGCCTGCTCATTACCAGATGCTCTTCCTTTAAATTACAAGCACCAGGATCCGCCTGCAAACCCCCGTTCTTCAAGCGCAGAGACCCAACCCTGCCCAAAACACAGAAGCCAGTCATCACGTCTCAGATCCACTGGCCCCATCACTTTATTTGCATCTATGCATCTTGTCCTGTCTCATGTACTCACCAACCTTGGACTCCATGGTTTCTCATGAGTGTTATTTCACCCTCTCCTTCCACTACCTTGCCCTATTTTCTCCATCATACTTACCCCTAGAAAATCCACAACTCTGTATAAACCACCGCACATTCATAATCACCAGCCCCAAACTGACCCTGCGAAGTCAGCAATCCTCAGCACTTCCCCAGCAGGCTGGCTACTGCAGGTTTCCTCCACCACCCCTATGGCCCCTCTGCCTTCCTACTGATGCCCTGCTTCTCACTTACAGGGAAATGCAGGCCATGGCAGGAGAGCTCCCTGCTGGCCCCTGGCTGCCCAGTGCCTTCCCCTGCAGGCCAGTCCTGCTCCTCCCTGCTCTTTCTCAGGGACCTTGTTCCTTTCCTGAGCGCCTTTCCCTCTGGTATCTTTGGTCTCTTCTGTTGGATCGTTCCAGAAGCATGGAAGCTTGCATTAATCCCTTTCAACTAAAACTCAGGCAATGCCCACCTGTGACTCATACCCTGCCAACTGCCATCCCGTTTCTCTGCCCCTGTTGCTATGTGGTATATGAATTCTGTCTTTATTTTCTGTCTTCTGATACTTTGGAATCTGAGGACTTGCTGACCCTGGTTGGACTGCCCCTTCCAGATTAGCCAATTCCTAGAGCCAGTATTTGTTAAATACAAACCCACCAAACCCAGAGTCCACCCGCTACGACCTCCTCCGGGTCTTAGACTCCCGCCCTAATCACCCAGAGCCAGGCACTAGACACCTAGGTACCCCACCCACAGCGTTCAGGTCCCCTGCCTCCTGACTGACTCCAGTGCTTCCCCAAGTGGCCCTGTGGTGTGGCATGGTGTGCCGCTTCCTCTCGGGAACCGTAACAAACTGTCTTTTCAGTGACAACTGTCTTCTGATGTGCAGGCCTTGCTGTGCCTCAAATACCCTATCAATAATAGGGTTAATACACCGTATTTTCAGGCAGTCGGTGTCTGAGTGTTGTCTGCATAACAGTCCCCAGTGGTCTGCCCCCACTCCTCGGTGAGCTCCCCGCCGGCCACTGCTCCCATCACACCACCGAGGCTGTTCTCCCAAGGGCACCAACAACCTCCAAATGAAATAATGCCAAATATTATAGGCATTTTTCTGACCATTCATTCATTCTGTCAATAAATATTAAGTCTCTCTTTTGTGGCAGCCACTGGGGCTCCAACAGTGAACAGGACTGATGGGGGCCCCACACCAAGGGGCTTTCACACTAGTGAGGTGGACACGCAAGCAGCCAGTGAGACCAACTGCAGAGAAAGGCTTTATTTAGGTCAAGGAGCTGCAGCTGTCCAGACCCACGCCCATGATAGGACGAAAGGGCCTCAGGTGTGAAGGGGCACTTCCTGTTGCCATTTGGTGATTAGGGCCCCAAACTGAGGACCCACAGGCGCTAAGTGCCCCTCCCCATCCAGAGCACTGGTTACCTCCCCGTCCACAGCGCTGGTTACCTCCCCGTCCAGAGGCAGCACAGCTGGCTCTAGCACCACCCAGGATGGCAGCAGGAAGGAGATGAAAGGGAAGCTTCCAGTCCAGTCACTGGCCTTCTGAGGAGTGCCTGGAAGTGCTAAGAGGCATTTCCCTCCCCCTCCTATGTGCGTGGAAAGGATGTGCTTCCCCCTCAAAGCCAAGTGAGATAATGCCCCACAATCATCTGGCATAGAGAGGGGGCTGCTAGCAAGAAGGAGCAAGTGGTATTTCTGCTCTGAGGCTTCTGCTGAGCTGCATATCCCTGCACTGAGCCTGTGCTGCTAAGGCGGTCACCAAAGAGCTGGACGAGCACCCTCTCCATCTGCCTAGACATGAAGAACATGTGTCTCCTGCCAGGAAGGCTGGCTCCCTCCGAGGGTAGCTCCCTCGGAAAGGCCAAGGGATTTCCCCAAGGTCACACCTTTCTTAATGGCAGAACCAGGACAAGGACTTTTACCAGGGGTGGGGGGTGAAGGCAAGCCATTGTAAACGCAGACGATTTCTCCCCCAGGGCTGAGGGGCACAGGGTTAGAAAGCAGCCTCTCAAAAGCAGTGATGAATCTGGACCAGAACTGCAGGGCGCTGCCCAGCTCTCTCCACTGAGGAGCCAGGGTACAGCGACATTCTCCCTGAACACCAGGTTTGTAAACAGATGGTTTCTAGGCCTCTGACCACAGAAGAAAATGGTTCCATGGAAATAGGGAAAATAGCCCAAAAAGAGAGGCTGGGGACACAGGAGACTTTGGCTAGATTACCTGCAGCCACCATCTGCTTGATGATGTGGACCCGAGTGCCGCAGAACAAACCCAGTTTCTCTCCAAAGCCCCCAGCAGAGCCTGGGCCCTGAAATAAGCAGTGTCTCCAGGGGTAGAAAGCCCAGGAAGTTTGCTGTCACATGGTCTCCCCCAACCCTTTCTCTGGCACCATAATCTACCTGAACTTCCACTAATAAAAGCCCTGGCGTTGCTCAGCAGGGTTCCCAAGTGCCATTTCCTAGACTCAAGGAGCTGCATGACCTCGCTTGAGGAATACAGGTGTCCTGGGACTGTGTCATGTTGACCTGAAAGGAGACCTCAGGGAAAAAGTCCTGGGCCTCATTTTTATTTTCTAGGCAACTTCCTACTGCCCTAAAGCCTGTGAGCGGGGAAAGGATGAAGGGAGAGAGGGAGGGAGGGAGGGAGGGGAAGCGAGGGAGAAGTGAAGGGCCATTGATTGGCTTATTCATTGGTCTCAGCAAAACAGAGATAAATCAGACCTATTTTACTTAACCTGTGAGGTTACTGTGAGCATCAAATGAAATAAAAGTGAAAGGATTTCTTAAAGTACAGAGCACATGAAGTTAGGGCTAATCTTAAAAAAAGGTGAAAGTCTCTTAACTTAAACAGAGACAGTCCTGACCAAAGCTATTTTTTTTTTTAATTTAGCTTTGCCAGAGAGCCTGCGAGTGTTACAGGATTGTGAGGTCAGGCAGCTGCTCCTGTAGAATGCTGATGCATGATGGGAGTGCACCCGCCCTGCTGACGGCCTCGTGCAGGAGCCTAGAGCTGGCTCTCACAGGGTGCAGTTGGCCACCTTGGCCATGCGCACCTGTGCATGAGAAAGAGACGCAAGACACTCCATGCATCTGCTTCTACAAATTAAGACCAAATATATACGAGACATCAAAAGGATTTCCATCATGGCCTGTTAGGAGCAGGGGAGGACAGAGGAAAGAGCAAATGGAAACTAGGAAGGAAAGAGGATTGCGGCAGATCACTGAGGCAGAGGAAATCCGAGTGGCCCTCCTGGCGGAACGTCCCATCTCACAGCTTTTAGGAAATTTCACATGGCAGAGGTTTTTAAACGTATAGATGGGCCTATTTCTGTCCGTTTGCTGGTTTGTTCGTTTGGCTATTTGTTTTCTTCCCTTGGCAGGCATAAACAGGAATATCATATTTTGGCATCCAATCTCCACCTAGATCCCAAATAAAGTGAGAAGCCAGCTTGGTAGGTGTTGCTAGGGAAACAAGGGATATTGCCTACATCCAGCCCGAGGAGGGAAGGAGGACAGGCTGGGGAAGGAAGTCATGTCCCTCAATTCAGCTCTGGGGGAGACAGAGTGAAATGCTGAAGCCTGACCATCCATCCCTCACTCTCAGGGAAAAGAAAGGCAGAGACAGAGGGGCTATCACACCCCTGACTCTTACATGAGATTTTGCCTAGGGCCAGCAGGACCTAAATGGACTCATTTAGACAAAAGATGGAGTCCAACTAACAAATTGCTTTCATTGCATAATTGAAGAGCCAGTGTAAAAAGCCTACAAGGTAAAAGAGAAGTGTGTGTGCATTAATCATACAAGCTACCCCCTTTCCACCTTTGCTCCAGTGCTGCCTCCCCATGGGGCCCTCTCTGAGCACTCTAAAATAGTGTTCCAAACTCCAGCTACCTCCCTCCTTCTGTGCATCAGCTGCCCCTTACCCTGCTCATTTATTTTTCCAAAGCACTTATTACCTTATACCACTTGATGTCATTTTCCTAGCACAATAATGACTCATTCTCTCCCTACCACTAGAATAAAAGCCCTCCAAGAGCAGGAGCCTTGTATAGCTTGTTCACTCATGCACCCCAAGTGAACTGAACAGTGACTCACACACAATATGCCCTCAGTATATGTGTGTTCAATGAACGAACGGCAACCCCTTCATCTCCCAGCCTCAAATCCTTTCAGAATCATGTTGAGCCGTGAGTTTAAAACGGGTTGATTAGGGAGACCTACAGGTGAGATGAGATAACATCAAGAAATACTTCCTAGGTACAAAAAAAAAATTAAAAAATGAACTTTTTTTAAGCAAATGTTTATTTATATCAAAATACAAAACATTTCTGAAGCAGAGTAATGTTACATGAGGAGCAATTAAATACTAAACGTCTTTTCATCCGTTTAACTCGCAACGCTCCCGGGGAACCTTCACTGGCTGCACATCGCGTCATTTGATGTGCCTTCTTTTTTCTTTTTGTTTGCTTATGCACTTGTTTGCTCATTTTGATTCTTAATTCAGGATATGAACATGCAGTGTTACTGGGGATGAGTTGGTTAGTACTTAGCAAGCCTGAAAATACCAGCGAGTGGAGCCTGGCATGGTAGCCTGAGCTGAGGCAGGCTGCAGGTTCTCTTCCTAATTGAATCTGGGGTGTCACTCCATTTTTAACTGGCAGGTCTAAAGCCAAAAGGACCACTGTCATCAGTAGCCAGGGCAGGCATTATTGCTTAGGGTTGTAGAGCAGGCGTGGCTTTGGGGTCATCTCCAATGGGGTCTCAGCGGTTTGGGAAGAAGGAGCAGGGCAGTCTATAGGCCCAGACCCAGGAGCAGGGTGCCCAGGGGCCCTGCAGGGAGAACCCTCTTCCCCAGGAAACCAAGAAAAGGCTGGGGAGGAGAAAGCTCCTCCCGCTTTTGGAAGTCTGTGATTTGGTGGCTGGGGGTGCCTGCCCTTTGGAAGGGCCCCTTATAAATGCTTTGAGTTTGGAGATTTTAAGGGGGAAAAAAGCACCTGATTGAGAGTACAGCTGTTTCCAATACACCTCCCTTCCCTGATGGCAAAGGAAAGGAGGCAGGAAACGGGGGAGAAAGCATCTCCCCTTCATTCCCACACCGCCCCACTCCCAGAGCCAACCTGGGTCACCTTCAGACTCCCACTTAGTACATTCACTTTGGTGTTGTGCACCTGTGAGCTCTCTCTCGCTCTCTCTCACTCTCACACATATACGCACAAGTACATACACACACACATATATATATATATGCATATGCACGTGTGCATGCGTGCGCGCACACACACTCACACACAGAATCTGCTCAGGCAGGAGAAAGGTGTCCCATCCTCACCATCATCTTTTGCCTCCAAGGGTGCCCTTAGCCCACAGGTCCCCAAGACCCAGCCCAGGCTTGGCACGCACTGGCATTCCCAGGCTTTTGAAAAGAGGGTGAAAGAGCAGGGAGCTCCTCACAGACGAGTTATACAGAGTGTAGAATATGTTTATATAAGGCTTTGGTACAGCACCGATTTCATGTTCTTATAGTTTGATTTCTAAGTTATCTTTTAGAAGAAAAAAAAAAGCTTACTGAAAAAATAGTGTTTTTATTTACTTTTGAGTTACATACCTGAAGTTCAAAAAGTAAGCCTCTAGTTGCCATTCAAGTTCACACTCGAAGGTGTTCTGTGTGCAGCTGTACAATTTGTTGGTTTGTCTTTAATATGGAACAAAAGTCAGCCAACCAATACCATAAAGTCAGCTGCCCATAACTCACTTTAACCAGTCCATACATACAGACGGAAAAGAGAGAGACAGGGAGAACACAAAAGCCGCCCCTAAGTCACCCACCCCAAACCCCCAGGGAAAAATCAAAAAGAAGACAAAATACAGCAAGATAATCAGGAGCCAGTGGGAGGAAGGAGATTCTGCCCACCTGGCCTCTTCGAGAACAGCACCATGAAGCACCCTAGCGCAGTGATGTTGTAATACTCAACATTCAAGAAATGGAAACGAGGTTGGAGTGGCCTTCACAAGAAGACCTGGCATGGATCGGGGGTCAGCCCCAAAGAAAGTGGAAGAAAGAAAGAGTTCGAAATGAGAACAAGAAATCTCATAACGAAACTGACAGCAATATCCAGAAAAGAACTACAGCAAGAGGCTGCCGCGCACCGAGAGGTACAGAGTTTGTAAGGGGTCTGGGGGAGGTAGCATCGGGAGCCCCTCCCCACCCACAGTGCCTGCTCACCCCCACCAGGTGAAATGGAGGCAAGAAGCTCATCTAAAACTTGCCTCCAGCTGTGCGATGGGAGAATTCTAACCCGCAATCAAAGTCCCTCCTGCGGAAGAGAAAACGCTGAAGACCAAGGGCCAGGGGTCACTGATGTGAAGTAGGATGTGGTTCCTTCACGTCAGTGGCTGTGGGAAAGCCCCCTTCCAGACCCTCTATCAGTAGCCCCACAAATGTCAGTTAGGAAATTAAATATGAATGGTACTTCAAGACCTCTTGAAACTGATATGTACAACTTAGTAAGTGGAGCGTTAAACTGCTGTTCTCCCCTAGCCAACAATTCTCCTTTCTAACACTGCGGTCTAAAGTTCCAGAATCAAGACTATCCCATAAAGCACCCTCCTCCCAGTCCCTGGACTCTGAGACCCCACCCTCCAGTGCCACAGCCAACCCCCTACTGGCAGGAAGGGTGCTGAACAGGCTTGCCTCTTCCCCCACCTCCTCCTTTCAGACCGCCCAAGTGGGTGGACATGAACATCTACCGCAAAGAGGAGTGGAAGCGCAGCAGAAATCCAAGACAAGGCCTCTTCCCCAAGCTGTTGGTTGGTGACAATGGGGAAGAGGGATGGGGTCCACACAGACCCACGGGAGAGCAATTCCCGCAGATCCACCTATTCCCAACTCTTGCTCTATACAGCAGACAGAGGTAGAAAGATGAAAACAACTCCTCAGATACCCCCACCTTCTACCAAAAGGGAAAAGCAGCAAAATTCAATGTCCATTCTGCTATGTGGGGACCAAGGAGCATGTCCCAAGCATGAAAAAGAGCTCAGGCTCCTGGCAGTGGCTGTGGGCCATAAAGGCTCCATCAGAACACACTCATCCACCTGTCACACCAACCGATGCCACAAGCAGTTACCAGGCCTCCTCCTTACTCCACTTAAAGCAAATCTCAATGCCCTTTCCTCCAAGTGCCTTTGGGAAGGGCTGGCTCTTCAGAGAAGCTGGAGGTCACTGCTGGGCTATCTTCTCCCCTCTGACGCCCACCCTTACTTCATCTTGCTGAACAGTAGGGCAGAAAGGTCACATGGAAGCAGTAACATCCCCTCCATGCTGTAAAATTTCAAGGTAGTGGCTATGGCCCCATCTTCCCTTTCCCTCTGCAAAACAAAGAGTCCAGTTGGAGGCTGAGGAATGGAATGGTGACATGCAGGTCGGTGGCTCTCCCAGACCTTGATGCTGCTGAGGACTGAGCCTTGGGCTGGCCCTGATGGGAGGGTGAGCCCAAGGGCATGCCCATGGTGCTGGAGCGATTTACTCTGCTGGTTGCATGTGGCCCAGAAGTCAGGCAAAGTCCATGGAGAGAGAGGGGATGATGGGTCTAGGAGCCGAAAGAACGGTGATACTTGAAGCCTCCCTACAGAAACTGCTGTCCTGGGAAGGGAACAGAATTTGCAGCTCTTCTTCTTGCTCAATCTCCCTAAAAATTCTTATGAGAAACACCCAGCTACAGGAGCCTGCAGGAAAGATCAGCCAAGGCAAGGATGGACACACTGCCAGTGGCCCCGGCACTGGGCCCTTCCAGCTGCATGGACAGAGCCCATTTCCCATCAGCATCCTTGGAAAGGGGGAAATGTTCTCAGGAGTTAATCTGGGGACCCAAGGACAGTGCCTGAATGAATGGCAGGGCCTCACAGGTTCATGTAAGGATCAAGAGTTAGACTCAAGCTTCACCCCAACCTATTCTTCCCATAATGCCCCAAAACTGCCAAGCAAGCCCTTCTCACGGTGAAGATATCTGTGTTCCTCTAAGGACTGAACTCTGTAGACCAGAGCTCTTAGGGAGTGCCACATCTTGGTTAGGAAAGGGGTTAGTATTGCCCTTTGCTGAGTGACGAGCAGGAATAAGGAGCCGAAAGGTTGCAGTCCTGAATCTCTCCTCGCTGACTGCACCATCTGGCCCAGCACCGGCTTCAAACACATCGCTCTGAGCTCCCAGCAAGTCAGGAAGGAGCTAGCACCCAGGAGACACTTGCTGAGGCTCCAAGGCAGGGCCCTTGCATATGTATGAGGTCTGGAATTTATTTGCTCAGAGAGGTATTCTTCAGGGCACACTGCTTCCTGCTCAGATACAAGTGAACTCCTGCTCCCCAGAATCTCCCATTCTGGGTCCAGTTCTGCCAATATATTGTTAAGTTCTGTAAGTGCCCGGCTGGAGGCCAGAAAGAAGGGTCTGCTAAGACCCACTCTCCCAATCCTGCCCGAAGTTAATCTCTCACTCCTGATCCTCCACTCACTCTCCCAGGATTGGGCCATCCCATTTGCAATGGCACTTTATTTTCCAATTAAAAATAACTGTAAAAAACATAGATGACATATTTATAGCATATATATCACATTCACACTGGCTCTAAGAAGCTGCAGTGGCACTACCCAGGGCATGTGTTTTCCAAGACCAAGTCCATGCAGCCAGCATGGCAAATTCTCCCACCACCATGCCCTCTAGGAGCTGTCTGAGCTACAGTGCTACAAACCAAGACAGGTGTCACTGCAGGTCCCCAGGTAGTCTCAACCACCTGCTTTCTAATGCTGCAAAGCTGGGTTCTCTGAGAAACTGGGCACCTTCCCACAGTCACATGGGGACAAAGTCAGTTTTCATCTCTTCCTCAGTCTTGCCCTGTCAAGCACCTCTGCAAAGAAAGTCCAAGTCAACATCCCTCCCAATTGACAAGAGACACATGAATCGTGGTTCTTTAGGGCTACCAGATCCTACAGCTCCACACAACCTTCGGCTGACTCGTCCTTCCTGCAGGTGGGTTATTTGTTTTGTTATTTTACAAACTTTCCCTATATATGCATTTCCATCAGAAAGATCCAATCAACTCTGACTGAACAGAGAGAATATCAAAGGAAGAGCAGGGAAGGCGGCGGCATCAAGGCATGAGCTGGTATCCCAGGCTGCCTGGGAAGTCAGCACTGCTCTCAACACCTCTAAGCAATGAGCTGGTATCCCAGGCTGCCTGGGAGGTTAGCACTGCTCTAAACATCTCTAAGCACAAGTACAAAAATAAAGCGAACTATGACTTCATATAGATATAGAGATATACTTTACATAGGTTTTCTTTATATTTATATGTGTGTGCAGAGGGCACAGGCCCCTGCACATCTTGCCCGGCACTCAGCCCTTGCCCTCCCACTCCCCACACCCCACGTGTGCCACTCGCCCAAAGATCCTGGTCACCACAATTGCATCTGATCCTTGCCCCCCACATACATCCCCTTCTCTCCTTAAAATAGAACCAATTCTGTAGATTTATATAATTTTATGTACAATCTTCATAAAAAATACACTAAAGACGGTGCATTACTACTTTGACCCTCCTACCAAAACAGAAGTTGTCTAACAAAGGAGCCAACCAAAGGGGGGTCTCCTGGGCCTGACGCTATGCAGGCAAATCAGCGTGTCTGTACAAATCTCTCTCACACACACCACATACACGCACACCACACCGCTCACACAGACACACACCATACACACACAACACACACACAAAAGATGCGCCACACCACACACACACACACACATGCACCACAAACACACACGCATACCACACAACACACACACCAAACCACCCACAACACACATACCACACAGATACACACTGCATCACACACCCATATCACACACACATACCAGACATACACATCACACACACACCAGACACACATACACCATACGCAATATACCACAAACACACACCAAACCACCCCACAACACACATACCACACAGATACACACTGCATCACACACACCCGCATCACACACCCATACCACACACACACCACACAATACACACAACACAACACACACAACATACCACAGACATACACCACACCACACACAAACACACCACACCGCACACAATACACACACACACCACAAACACACCATACACAACACACACACCAAACCACCCACAACACACATACCACACAGATACACACATCACACACATATACCACAGACACACATACCACACAGATACACACCCACATCACACACATATACCACAGACACACATGCCACACAGATACACACCCACATCACACAAATATACCACAGACACATACACCACACACTCCACATACAGTATACCACACACAATACTCACAACACAAGACACACAACACATACCACATACAAACACCATACCACACATAATAAACATCACACCACACACAATACACACACAACACAGACACACCACACACATGCATACCACATACATACCACACATGCACATCACACACAACACACACACACACAACACAGACACGCACACCACACATGGATACCACACACACACCACACATAATACACACCACACACAACACAACACACAGAACACACACACCACCCTACAGACACATGCCACACACAATACACACACCATACACACCAAGACCACACACCACACACACAGTATACACACCACACACTCACATCACACATTACATACCATACAGAAAAACATACCACACATACCCACATCACATACCACACACACACACTACACCACAGACACCACACATATACAAATACAGGTATCACACACCCCACACACCATACTACATACACCACACAAACACAAACCACACCCATACCAGATACAACACATGCATACACAAAGCATACAAACAAGCACACCACAGACACATACATCATGTGCACGCACACACACTTCACTTACTTCCTGAATCCAGGAAAGAAACACTGGACTAGACAGCTGGTTGGGGTTTCAAAACCAGGGCGACAACCTGGTGCCTGCAGAGGGACACGTGAGACAATCCCCTTTCTCCGTTGGCCAGGGCACACCGCTCCTTCGTGGGAGGCCATATAAATCCTTGTTAATAGAGTGGCTGACAATTTCCCTTTCAAGAACTGCAAAATAACTGTGAGGAGGTCCATCCCCTCCACCAGAAATACAGTTTCATAGACCCCTATGCCAAAAGGAGGCCAAACCCCTAAGTCCCACCACCAGCGTGAGGAGGGCTGGGCACTTGCCCCTTCCATGACTTATATGAAAACCCCAGATATGGCCCAAAAGCATACCCGTAGCATTTCTAAGGCCAAAGACCCAAGTCCCCCTCCCCAGCCCAGCCCCCTGCCCTCCCAGATCCCCTGCCCCTCCCACCATCTCCCATCGTAAACCATGCCCGTGTTCACTATCCCTGGAGTCACACAGAAGTGGGGAAAGAAGACAGGGGAAGGGAAGCTGACTGCTGTGTATATGGGGTGGGGAGGGAAAGTTTGACCTAGTTCCCAAAATAAATCCAGGAAATCCAGTGCCACAAAGAGGTAGGATTGGTGGAGCACACTTCTTCAAGACCCGAAAAAAAGGCAGGCCCTGGCAGCCATTCATGTCCCCATCTAGTGCAATGAGAATGATGACAACCAAAGACCCAGGGACAGGAGCTGAGCATTTGTGCCACTGAGCTAGCACTGTCTGACCTAGCTCTCCCAGCCAGAGCTCCAAAGCTGCTAGCTTTTCACCAGCTCTCATCCAAAACCCTAACTACTACTACTGACCCACTGCAGAAGACAACACCCATGTGATTTTAATGACTGACCACTGTTCCACCAGAGTATTTGGCAACCAAGATACCCGGACTCTTCTTTCTCTAAGATGTGGGCAGCTGTTAAAACCCTTGTATGGATGATTCATTTGTCATCATCCTACACTGGAACCCTCAAGGAATGCGGTGATGTCTTTAGACCAGATTCAATCTACTGAGAGTTTTTCTAACAGCTTAAAATGAGGTTGAAAAAACCTTCCACCTTCTTGGCAACCCAACACACAGAACATCTGGTGGGGTTATTATACTTGCCACTAAAAGGTTTTGAGAGTATCGACAGGAACTCAGAAGGAAGGCTCTGGACCAGTACAGATTCACTCGTAGTCAGAGGGAAGGGTGGTGGTGGGTACCCCTAGCCAAAGAGCAAGCTGGCAAGAGTGCGAAAGTCCAAGCTGGGCTTTGAGCCTTGGTTTACTGACTTCTTCTAAAGAAGAGATTTTTAATTCTGCCTCTTAATCTAAAAAGAAGCAGAGCTGGAGACATTAAAGAGAGGAGAATGGCTGGTCAAGCCAAGAGTTTCAGGTGAAACTCTTTTGCCCTCCCACTTCAACCACAGACTAGTGACTTTACTCTATCAAAAGAAGAGAAAGTAAAGAGAAGGCCTCATTAAGCCACTGTGCAGCCTCATGGCCTAAAGGAAGCCTCTATACCTCAAGAGGAAAGGGTGATGAAGGCACGTCAGGCTCCAGTTCCTCCTCTCTATCACCATCACCATCACCAAGGCCCACAAACATTTTCAGCTTGTGGACGGAGAGGCAACCCGCCACTGCAGCTTATGAAAACAAACGTGATGCTCATGAGAACGGAGCTTCCTTCTCCACTGATGAAGAGCTGGAGATCAAATGGGCATCTCAAGACAAGTCTCTCAGCTTTGGGCCTAAGGAGCCCCCAAAAACAAATAAAGTTGAAATACAATATAAAGATGTTCATGTTTGGTTTGGGCACTTAGTGTCAGAGGCTAATTCTAGAAGAAGCAAGGAAGGTCTAGCTAAGAAGCAAGACCTCTCCCAACATCCAGTCTGGGTCCACATGCAGGACCCCACCCCACAATCTGTCCCCGATGCCTCTGCCCCCCTCCCACACCCCCTGCATGGCCGCCACTCCCCAGCCAGATGCCCACCAGGCAATCATTCTTCGTCGTCTTGGGATGATCCCCCAGTGTATACCCTGCACCCTTACAAGTAACTATGTTATCACATGCCTCCAAGAGATGCTGAGACTTGACATCCCCTGGGGTAGTCTCGCCAACCTAACCCATGCCTGACCTCACCCTCTGTGCTCCTTCCAGTCTCCCCAGCACCTGTCAAAGCACACAGGCTTCCCCTCCACCCTCCAGTTCTCCAACTCCTCCTCCTGAAACACCCCTGTCCCATCCATTACCCTAGTCAATCTAGAACTGGCCAATAAGACACCCCTTTAGCCCTCTCCCCAAAGCAACACACACAGCCACACGGGGCTCTACATACCACCTATTAGAGCCTGTTTCACTTCATCTGAAGAAGATACCCAGGCAGGGCTGGGTCAGAAGCCCTGGTGGGAATATGCACAGCTCCTACAAAGTGCTGCAGAGGCTGGACTCACAGCGCCCCCACCCCATGACCCGCTCAGCTCATTCCTCTGCCCCTTCCTGTAGCCCCCCCAACCATCCCTGCAGTGCCCCCAAAGCTCCTTTACATGCAAGCAAAGCAAGCCCAAGATTAACCATTAGCTTTTCTTTTCCTAGGTTTCTCTACATATTAATAAAATGTACTTTATGTACAATTCTTCTCCCACCCCACCCCCAAGCCTGGAAAGGCTTTTGCTAACAAAATGGGAAGAAACAGATTCCAGCCACTCAGTCTTCAGCCCTGGAGATTCAGATCGCGGCCAGTGCCAAAGATGCTGGAGACTCCATGAAGACTGTTTGTCCCCAGAAGCTACTATTTTGTCAACCTTGTCCCCCACCCCAAATAAAGTCAGAAAAGTTCACATTCAAACCTTAACCTAGTTTCCTCGGCATGAAAAGGGCAGAGGAATAAACAAATTAAATCCGTTCAACCCCAAATATTTTAGACCACAAATCAAAAATAAAGACAGAGAACATGGAAAAATATCAAGAAGTACTCAGCTCTCAATCCACCCAGCTTCAGTCTTCCCCCAAGCACATGGTTGTGGGACTAGGCCACCTGAAAGGAGGGTACAGACCCCGTCAGCCTGCTGGGAAAAAGGCATCCTTCCTGTTAGGAAAGTAGGATCTCAAAAGGCCTGTCCTACCCCCAGTCTCTTGAAGGAAGCTGCTTAGAGGCAGGCTGGCAGCAGTCAGGGCCACTCCTGGATGCTGGGTCCAGGGCCACCTCAACAATCCAGCACAGGACCCCACTCGGCACCAGGGAGCCCATTGGCAGCCCACCAGGAAATCAAGACAGCCTTCACCTCCCCACCTCGTCATATGTCTTCTCTCCCCACACAAGCACAGACACCCCTAAGAACTGTTTCACCCTCTTCCTGGTCTGTGGGTCACCTGACACTACAATAGCCACAGTTCCCGGCTACGATACAGAAGGAAGAGGCAGACATCTGAGATGCAGGAGCAGGTTTTCACTGGAGCCACTTCTACTCCAAGGCCACCAGACCATAAAAGGGGAAGTTTGGAACTCATAATCTCTCACTAAGTGAGCACAGAAGTCCTATGAAGCTGATTAGTGGTCACTGCCATTGCTCAAAGGCAGACTATGGAGGACACTGGTCCCTAGAGGTGGCTATACCCCCATCACGCACACGTTCACAACCACTCTGTCACACACACCCACACCCAGCACCTAAGCATATGCCTGTAGCATCTTTACCCTCTATCCTACGGAGAGAGGGGACTGTGTTCCATCAGTTTCCATCACAAGTCCATGGGGTGCAGGACTGCTGGCCTCCAAGGACACTGTCACAGGAGGAAGCCCTCATGGGAGCCGAATGAGCTCCAGGCCACTGAGAGATGGGTAGACCTCACATCCTTGCCTTAGCCCAGGAAAGCCACAGCACAGCGGCCACTCAGTGACCAGCAAAAAGCACAGCTCCCCATGTTGGGTCTATGTGCTGAGGTCACGGGCACTGTCAGAGGAAAGCAGGAGTCAGCACCTTGGTTAGCACGGGGGCTGCCCTGGACGGCACAGCCACAGCCTGAGCGTCTCAGCTCCTCATCACGTCTGAAAGAAGCAAAGCCTTCTACCTCATCATCTCCTCTTCTTTCCTAACCTGAGGGCTGGAATTCCCAGATGGTGCTCAGAAAAGTTGGCCAAATTCATCCTGAAGGTTGACCACCTGATGCCCATATCCCAGTCCATCCCAGGGCCTGGCTGACCCCCCTGAGCTCTGCAGTGGAGAAATCCCACACTGCCAGTGCACAGAGACTGCATACCAGCCCACAGGGAGCCCCCACCTCCTACCCCAACATCTCAGGTAAGCTGGGTCCCATCATCCCCCAGGAGAGATGCCGAGTGAGCTGCACAGCACAGCATGGAGGCAGAGCATTTGCTGCCTTGAAAAAGGACACAAAGAGTTGTACGATCTTCCCTCTTGCAGGGTGGCTGCTCAGTGGTCAAGTGGATTCCAATGCCCCAGAGATGCACATCAGCCTGAAGGCCCAGGTTCCACCCCGAGGGTGCATGGCCCAGTCTCAGAAGCCCCTCTGTGCCTCTCTCACCACAACCCCTTCAAACATGTTCAGAAAGGAACGTTGGTGACATGACTTGCACGGTAAACCTCCAGGGTGGGCTGGTCCTCAGCTCCCTGGGTGAAACAAAGGACCAGGGCCTGTGTGGCAGAGAAGAAATCCATCACCTAAGATGGAAATGCCAAGAAGAGACAGCAGCCATCCAAAGCCCCATCCTGCAAGGTCACTGGGCCAAGCCCGTGGCAGCTGCATAACACCAGCAGAAGCCATCTAGTGCTGCGTGGCTCACGTCCAAGCAGGGAACTCGGGAGAGGTGGGTGCCCCCAAACCCACCAAGACAGCAGCACCGAGAAGGAAATACTTCAAGGAACCTTCGTTCTAGGCCAAGCCAGAAGGGGGATCCTACACGAGAGTGGGGGAGGAGCAGGCCTGCCCTCCGCCTCGCCCTCGGGGCCTTCTGCCCTGTCCTTGGGCAGCACCATATCTTATGGGCAGAGAGACATCTTAGTGGGAAGATGACCTCACGAGGCTTCTGGATGCTAAGAGTTTGAACCAGGACAAGACTTTGGCAGAGGAAGAGTCAGTGCCCAGACCCTACTCATCACCCCTCCCACCTTCATTCCTACACCTCAGCCACAGAATAGAACTGGGCAAAGAAGGCAGGATCCAGAGTGTCCCAGGCCCCAGCAGCTGAAGGTGCCCTGGCTTCACCTGGGCCCATCCTCCAGGACCTCTGGTCCAAGGGCAGAGGAAGGCCCCAGGGCAGAGAAGAGTCAGCAGACAGCACATGGTGAGTATGGGAAAGCCACAGGCGGCTCCGCACAAGTGGTGATTAATCAATCTGGAGAATTAGCTCCCACAAAAGGAAAGGAGGATCCAATCAGCCGCTGTGGAACAGCGCTGCAGAGAGTGCTGAGCCGGAGACGGTATAAATAGAGCGGCAGCTTGGAGCCAGCACAGGTGGCTCCGCAGTAGGGGAGACTTTGGCCACAGAGCTCACAGCCTGGCTGGGTGGAAGGGTGCCGCTGGATGAGCTGTATTTGTGCACCAGGGGCTTGTTTTAGCCCCATGGCTGAGTAGCCTCTGCTTCTGCAGCATGAGCCGCGCTGGAAGAAAGATGCAGGTCTGGCTGCCTGGCCACCCCTTCTGCGCCCAGGAATCAAGAAATAAAGGCTTGAGTTTAGTTCTGCAGTAACTCATTGCTGAACCCCCACAGAAGGCAGCCAGTAATCACAGCAAGGCCCCATTTCTGTTCGGGGTGGGAGAAGGTAGAAGACAAACAGAGAATTCAGCTGAGAGGCATGGATCCTGTTTTGGGAGAAAGAATCCCCCAAGACAGATGTCAGGCACCTGGCCAACGCACAGCCAGCCCCGCTCACAAACCCCCGCTGGCCACTGCCCTCCTCCTCCTGCCTCCACTGACCACAGAGTGCAACAGCACTTGCCTCAATGTACATATATATACACATAGAGAAACCCACACACTACAGACATATGCATCTGTATCTATATCTATATATATGTGGGGTGTGGAAGATGGACGTTAAGTCCAGCCCTCTTCCAGGACTTGAAAAACTAAAACAGAAGCAGAGCAGTAAAAGCCATTGCTTTCCTCTTCACTTCCAAAGACATTGGAAGAGATGAGAAAAATCAATCTAGCAAAGCAGGGGGCAGAGGGGAGGAGACAGGTGTCACCCAGTCTCCAATCCACTTCCTGACCTCAACCCACAAGAAGTCTGCCCGCCCTCTGTCCTGAAGACAGGTGGCCAGGATCTGGAGGGAGACACCCACTCTGGCAAAAGAGCAGGCACGCAGGACAAAGGTCTGGGCCCCCCCTGGCAGGCGGAGAAGGACACGCCCCCACACGGTGGCCCTCCCTGCCTGAGCCCAGCAACCTTGCCCAGGGGACACCTAGAGTGAGGTGGAGTCACAGCAGAGTGGCATGGCCTGGGTCATCGTGGTCCACACTGTTGAGAATCGCTGTCTGGTCTTCTGGAAGCTGGCGGTGGCACAAGTCTGAGAGCCGGGCAAAGGGGTCAGGACGAGAGTGTCTCTTCTTCTTTCGGAGGCAGACAGCTTCGTCGGGCCACAGAACCTGAGAGTTGGGAAGCTGCTGAGCCTGGGAGGCAGAACCATCTAGGGAGAAGGGAAGAGGGACACAAAAGAGAAGAAAAGCAAGCAGGTGAAAAGGAAGCACGCAGCCCCACTCACCTTTTCCACCTACACACGTTCTGGGTTTCTAATGTTAAAACAAAGGAATCACCTGAGTCTAGAGAGACCAGACCAAATTGCTGCAGAGAAACCACCTTCTTTACCACTAAGGCAACCAGCAACCTGACCCTGCTACTTTCACTGGAATAAGAGTTAAGAAAGTGGGATGGAGAGGATTTTCTTTCTCATTCATTTCTTTCTCAATCAGTCTAAACATATTTCTTTTAGTGCCTCTTGAGTACTAGGCATCATTCTAGGTCCTGGGGATCAGGAAGGAACAGGTGGGACTCAGGGCATCTTTCTCATCTGCCCCAAGCAGTGACCAGCTTTATACAAGATTTTAATTACATGCAGCAGTCAGGCCTTGACCCTTCCTGGACTGCCTGGGCCTCTCCTCTGCCTCATGTCCCTTCTGGGGATTAAGCAAGAATGCCTTTGCTATCTTCAAAGACTATGCATCCATGTTAGGGTGCGGAGGAAGAGGCAAACTGTCAAGATTTTCAAAATACAGAAATCAAATTTGCAGTTACTGAAAATACTACAAAGATAAAACAGGGTCAACTAAGGCACTACTCCTGCTCCTTAAAGGGTTAACACTTGAGTCTTAAGAGAAGTCTTATGAGCCTTCCACAGATGTGAAGGAAAATTATTCCCACCAGAAGAGACAGTATGTATGCAAGCCCCAAGTTAAGGGTAAATGTGGCGTGTCCCAATACAGAAGGAAGGTCATCTCATTTGAAGAAGAGTGAGGCAAGAAAGGCAGGGCATGAAGGAGCTTGAAATCTGTTCTGGTTATGATGGGAAGCTTCTGGAAGGTTTTAATCAGAAGTGTGTGTGTGTGCGTGTACACGCCTGCACATGTGTGCTCATGACTAAAAGAGAGGATGCTGGTACACGCCCTACAGCTCACTCTGGTGGCTGTGTGTGGAATCTGCAGTGCAAAGTACAAAGCTAGGGCTGCAGCACTAGCTGCAAGGTACTGCAGTCGTCAAGGCAGGACAGACAGTGACTCGGAACACAGAGTCAGCAACGGAGACAACAGAAAGTGGCCAGATTCACGATGTGTTGCAAAGGCTGAACTCACAGGCCTTACCTAGTGGACTGGACATAAGATGTGAAGGCAAGGAAAAATCAGGGATGAAGGGGCCTCACACCCCAGTGGGTACCAGTGCTAGTGACTAAACTGAGGAACAGCTGAGGAGAAGCAGGCCCGGAGAAGCTGACCAGTAACTCTACTTTAGACATCAAGGCATACGAAACCCCCAAGTGCATGTCCAACTGACAACTGGAAATACGAGCCACGATCTCAGGGAAGGGACCTGGGCTAAAGACAGACCTTTAGGAGATGCCAACATAGACCTGGTAACAGGACCACTGCCATCAATCAGAACAAGAGAAGGCAGGCCTCCGATGTGACTTTTTTTTTTTTGCAATAAAGAAATATATAAGTTCTATATAAAATATATGTTGATGGGTCATAAATGAGTTAAGAATGGGCTTAAATGGGTTGAAAATGCAGCTTTGAGTTTGAATTTCTAACCCAAGCCCTAAAAAGATCATTTTCTCTTTCCGCTCCAGTACTTCCATCTACAAACTGAAAGGATACTGGCACCAGCCAAAGGCTATCACTGGCCCCCAGAGATTCGTGAGGCTTTGAGTTTCTGTGTAACACTCTCCCATATTCCTGTCTATAAAGACAGTTCCTGTACAACAGTTATCAAAGATATGCAAAGAAACTGTTCAGCATTCTCCCCTGACAGCCTGCCACAACACTCCTAAAACCATTCAGGAAAAGAGGGTGTTAACAAATATTAAGGAATTTTCTATTCTTAAAGAAGGCTAAATTCATTTTACACTCAGAAGCTACCTATCCCTGCTAGATACACATTGGACACACTTCGATAGAGACACCCTCTCTGTAGGGTAAGGAGGCTTCACTCCACCTCACTGAGAAGACTGTAGCCACCCTGCAGAGGCTAGGTCCAGCCTGCAATGTACCCTGAGCTCCAAGTGGGGTCACATCATGCCTGTGTTCACTAGAAGGCCTGAAATGACCGAGGGCAAGGAAGTAAGGAGACAGAGTTACATGCAAGGTGAACTGCAGAGCGGAAAACTGGATCTGTACTATTTGTGTTGTTTGAAAACACACTAAAACAATAGGATACATTTTTCTGAAGCTATAGGCACAGAAAAGGCACACACACTGAAAGTGACAGTTCTCCAGGGGAGAAGAAACAAATTGGGAGGGCAATCAGAGATAGTTCCCCTTATCTCTCTAATTTTGTATATGCAAATTATGTTTGTGTATTGCTTGAAAAACAATGTTAAAAAGGAAACAAAGAACAAGAGAAGCTTGTGGATTCAATTCTAGAAAAAGTCCAGGGTTGGGACCCTAAGCCCAATAACCCCCCTGACAACAGCAAGGTTGCGGGGTGGGGCGGGCCTCTGCCCATCATTACCGGATCGTTTCTTTGACTTCGAAGAGCCCTTGGATGACTTTTTGGGCTTCTTTATCCGTTGGTATTTCAGAGCCTCCAGCCTCTCAGGTGCAGCAGCGTTCCCGGGTGCAGGTGGAAGTGTTCTGGAAAGGATAACCAGAGAGGCACAGGTCAGCTCCCGGATGTGTGAGGCTTTGGAAGAGGGGCTGGAAGAAAGCCGAGTAGCTGACCCATAGAAGGAAAGAGTCCAGTCCTACAGAGCCCAAGGTGCCCACGATGGCTCCATGACATCTGCCTTTCTATTGCTCCTGGAAAGAAGAAAACCCAGCAGAAAGCTCCAGGGGAATGGCCCACCTCAGTGGGAACCAACCTGCAGAGCAACCAGAAGACCCCAGCAAAGGGAGAGAGAGAAACTTTAATAGTAAGCCCCTTCTCATGTAACTCAAGCTGGGATGCATTCAGTGTCAGAGACACAAGTAGACTCAGCGTCTGGAGTTCCTAGAAATCACCACAATCAAGACCTTTGAACGGAAGGTAAAAGGGCAAATTAGAGCAGGAGGGCAAGCAGCTCCCATCCCAGTGAACCGTCCTCCATCTCCAGAAAAGGGGGTGCTAAGTGAAAAACCCAACCCCCAGTGAGACAGCCTGCAAAAAACCCAGCCTTGCCAGCTTCTTCTCCTCAGCCGCAAGATTCCCACAGAACGGCAGCAGCTAACAGCAAGGAACACTTGTCACACACCAACACTCAGAGCAGTGTCTCCTCAACCCTGCAGACTAGGCTCAGCTCTCCTCAGCCATGTAAGAGAACAGGAGCGGGTAGCAGGAGGTGACAGCAGAGCAACCAAATCTGGCAGCCTCCCAGAGCCCTCGCCGTCTGTAACAAGAATGTGGTGAACCTCTGTATCTTAAGATTCAGCAGAGAAACGAGGTTGTTGGAACAGAAGACAATGTGTACTGGCCACTCTTCCTCCATTCTGATTGTCACTTGCCTGGTGGATCAACTACACAGTTAGGACAGGGTCCACAGTCGGTCCACAGTCTGGCCACAGCCTGCCCAGGTAGGCAAGGGAGCCAAGAGAGCTGAGAGAAGGGGAAGTCTGTGACACTTGGTGCATATTGGAGAGAATCTTTAAAGAGTCCTAAAAGAAGAAAACCTAGGAGACATGTTCTCATACCATTTCTTCTCAAAGTAATCCAACTGGGAGCCCGAGGAATGAAGGGGAGAGACAGGTCGCCCTGTCTTCCCACCAGCACTGGCATTAGCATGTGACTAGAGAAGCAAAGGCACTCTGGGGCCATGGCGGATGGACGTGCCTCACTCTTCTTCTCCTGAACCCCCCAACTCCTCCCCTATCTCCACTGCAATCAGGTTTTGGAAAATCCTGATTAAAAGAGGTAGGACACACAATGCTTGGAGGGCAAATGAAGTCCCCAAAGGTCCACAAGTGGTCTGAGATTAAAAAACAAAATTGTTAGAGGGGTAGGAAGCCAGCAGCCTCTTCTCCCCAACATCAAATATCTTGGCAGCGAGGCAGGAAGGGGAGACTTACAGACTAATTGCAGATAAACCTCTGGTCTCTGGGGTTTCCTGCATTCACTGGCAATGCAGTGACTCCGTCTTCCTTGGGGAATGTCATCATAGTCCTTTAGTCCATAAAGTTTCAAAAGGCTCCCTCAAAGTTCAGGTCAGGGTCAACCTCTTGACTTTCCACATCCCCTGCCTGCAGAGCTAAAAAGGCCACACAGGGTCCCTTAGGTGCACACACAGGCACACACAGCCCTCTCATGAGGAAGTGGCCCAACATGCCCGTCTACCCAGAGAGATCCTATAGTGCAGCAGCAGCTGGGAAGGAATTGGGAAGGCAGACAAAGGAGGCAGGTGCCCAGGCGGGAGGGAGCACACCTTCCCGGTGCGGATGGCACATCTTCACCCCTTCTCATCCTCGACTGAGGCTTCTTCATGCTGCCTAAAAGGAAAGTCAATGTGAATCCACCTGTTCAGCCGATCTCTGTCTCCTGGCCGGCCTCTTCAGAGGGACCACACAGGGTGAGCGGCGTGTGGTCAGGGAGGCGCAGGACAGCAAGAACAGTGCTCTCCAACATCATCCGGGGCGACCACTGGGGCACGAGAGAAACTGGTACAGGGTGCTCTGAAAACTGTTAGGAATTCTTTAAGCCGGGTGAAACTTCCAGGGGTGATATGATAGTTAGAATCAACATCTTCTCAGCGTTGTCATGTTTACCATCTAGCATTGATTTACCACTTACCATGGCAGGCACTGTCCTACATGCTGCACAATAATTGCCCATAATCTCTACAGCAAACCTAAGAGGTAAATACTACAATGCCTCCATTTTTCAGATGGAGACACTGAAGTTTAGCAAGGTAAGCAACCTGTCCAATAACCCTGTTACCGTGGGACAGAGCCAAGACTCTCCACATTAGGCTCACCTCTCAACTGCCCTTCCAACGTCTTCCCAATGAACACAGGTAGAGCAGCTACAAAGAAGAAAAGCATGGCGTCGCCACCACACCAGAGAAATAGATCTGCCTTGCAGTGTACTTGAGGCTAGCACTGATGTTCTCTGCTTCAGTGGAACAGCCCCAGTAAGACAGACATGGCTGGAGAGCAGCCTGCTTAAGTTATATCTTCAGGCAAAAATTCCCAAACAGTGATGATTCAGTGACCAGAGGCAGCCGATTTTCCTTTGAGAAACAGCCAAGTTCCAGCCCTTCCAGGACACCTGCTGTCCACCTGTTTAGCTCTGGGCTCAGCACCCAAGCATGGCCACAGGACAGAAGGTGGCTCTGGACACACCAAGACCCTCGCCCAATGCAGGAGGAAAAAACTAAAGCAAGTGTCTGGCAGAACAGGAGGGAGGAAGTGGGGCAGGCAAAATGAGTCTATTTTTGGCACATGGTACAGAAAAGACGCATAGAATGTGATTGAACAGACTTTATCAACAGCATGTAAAGCCCTATGCAATGGAATCACCTCCGTTTCAGGAAGGATGACCAGGTCAGCTGCCAATGCCAGCCTCACCTGGGGCCCTTCAGTCACGGAACTCTTGGTATCAATGTCTCAGACAGGAAGCTTGAGTGAAGCAACTCCATTCTCTCCCTGGAATTCAGCTGTCAAGTAAACCTAAGTTTGATCTGTAGATAACCCCATGAAACCAGAAGCCAGTCCTGGGCTCTCCAAGAATCTGAGGTCACAGCTCTTTTCCCAATCAGCCTATACTGTTCTAAAGCATGCAGGAAAACTTTGAGCCCTGGGACTCCACTTCTTCCAGAAAATCAGGGATTACTGAAAGATGAGGGCCTCAAAGCCTCAGTACACAGGTGTTTTTTGCAGTTCAGAACTACCAACAATTGCCTGGAACTTACTTCTCTCTCTCTCTCTCTCTCTCTCTCTCTCTCTCTCTCTCTCTTTTTTAAGATAGGGTCTCTGTTTCCCAGGCTGGAGTGAATGGCGCAATCTCAGCTCACTGCTACCTCGATGATGGTGATGATCATCATCACCATCAGATGGTCTTCCCACCTCAGCCCTCCAATTAGCTGGGACTACAGGAATGTGCCACCATGCCCAGCTTTTTTTTTTTTTTTTTTTTGTATTTTTTAGTAGAAACAGGGCTTCACTATGTTGCCCAGGCTGGTCTCGAACTCCTGGGCTCAAGAGATCTGCCCTCCTTGGTTTCCCAAAGTGCTAGAATTCCAGAAACGAGCCACCACACCCAGCCAATACTCTCTCTTTTCAAAAAATCTGTATAAAACCCGTATCATGACCAGGTAGCCCAGGAGGTCTTATTTGCTTAGCTCTCAGCTTACCCAGAAGAACTGAGGAAAGATGCACCCAGGTCAAAGTGGAGGCGAGCCTTAGGACAGTGAAAGCCAACCCCCCTGCACATTTCCTTAGCTCAGTGCCCAGGAAATGACCATCATGACCCTGTTCAGGTGTCCCCTGGCCAACAGGCTGGAGCAGTGGCTTGATGGGCATTTTCCTCCTCTTCTAATCACCTGAGAGCAAATACCACTTGCCTGATTATACCCTGATGGAGACAGGGGAAAGCTACTCACAGATGGGCCATAGCCAGGGAAAGGTGGGCCTACTGCAGGAGTCTGGAGGCCTGAACCCACCCCGCTGACCACAAGACGAAACCCTTCTGGAGGGCCAGGCTCAGACCGGTGCTCTACCTCAGAACCTGGCAGAGGCTTGTTTCCAAAGGGGCCCCTTCCTAAGGCTGACCCAGGAAAGGGGCCACTCCATGCTTCAGACCCACCAGCCTCCCTGTGCTGACAGTCAGTCTGAACAGGAAAAGGCGTGGAAGGAGATGTGAGGACAGGGCATCACTAGGCTCATCAGATGGGGGCTAAGAATTGGCTCGGCCTCCCCGCAGTCCACAGAAAGGACAGGTCCACACAATACAACTCCCCATGTTGAGAAGGGAGTTGGGAAGAGGAGAAAAAAGGGAGAGAGAAAAGAGGAAAGGCAGGGAAACAACTACATGTATGGCCCAAAGGAACAGGAGAGGAACTGAAAGGAAAAGAAACAGCGAGAACGCACATGGACAAGAGCTGTCACAACTTCTCCAAGCAAGACCGAGAGGGCACACATGCAAAGGTGCAGCATGGAGACAGCATCTGAACAGAGCCTGCGTCTCCCCAGGGCCCAGCAGCCATACCGGGGAGGCTCCCAGCAGGCAGGAGAGCCCAGCACCGAGGGGCTGACTCAGGATGGGGAGGGTATCCTTCTCCTAGGCTGGGGATGCTGGCCAGGCCCGGGAGAGAAACGATGGTCCCTCATCGCTGCCCCTGGTTTCTGGGTTTGCCACAGCAGTGAAAGGAGAGCAGGCTTCTCTTGGATCTGGCACAGTGGGGACACTGGGAAAGGAGAGGGTCAATGGACTTGAATGAAGGGGTGAGGAAGTAACACATGGGAGTGGAGTCTAGGAATTTCCAGGAGCTGGAGTGAGAGTTGGTTTAGGGCTCGCACACCTCCGGGGGCTGTGGAGGAGTCACAGCTGGGACATGGAGGGGGAGACGGGAAGGTGGAGGACCAGTAGGTCTCTGGCCGCAGGAGGGCCCCAGAGCAGATGAGCGCATAAACACTACCTGACAGCCCTCACATTCACCCTGTGCCAGACAGCCTCACCCACAATTCCAGGGCCTATGGGCTGCTGACAATTTTATAGCTGCAGATGATAAAGAAATGTCAGGGCAGTCCTCTTTCTAGAGGCCACTCTTAGGACTAAATGAGAATTATAGCCCTGGTTAGGAAAATCAGCCTCCCTTGACATCTCTAGGTGGGGAAGGCATGTGTCTCCTTCTCACCTGGGAAGTAGAACCACCCAGACTGGAGGCTTGCCATCTCCCATGCAGGTGCCTGATGCCTGATGCCCAGGCATGGGCTGGGGGGTCCATGGTGATAGGCAGTGCCTTGTTAGGCTACTATGAGAAAGAGCGAGCTTCAGGTGGCCCTGAGCCCCTGTGAGGGACTGCAAGTCTTCCTGAATGCCCATGTTCCTTTGGCTTCCACCTGGAAGGACACTCAGGGAGAGGTCAACTGCAGGGGCAGAGGGAGGGACACAGTGCTGGTCCCTGGGGGTTTTACTTCTTGCCAGCTCAATGCTTGTCTGCCCAGGGGAAGCCTCCCTTTGGGGAGGTCCTCCTAAGGCCCTTTCCCTACAGTGTACTACAGTGTGACCCAGGGAGTTGGCAAGGTTATAACAGGGATCTTGAAAGTAACATGGACCCAAGCAGGAGGTCACATTTCAGTCCTGTGACTACCAAGGTTGGGCTGCAAAAGGCAAGGAGCGCAGGGGAGCACATTTCCCTACAAAGCGCTGCAGGACTGCAGGGACCTGACCCTGGAGGACCCCACTGGCAGGTAAGAAGTGGGGTTCACCCCCAACCTTGTGCTCCTCCAGAATACCGAAGATCCCAAGAAGCTGGTGAGGGGCCAGCCGCCCCAGGGAAAGGGATGCTATGCCTGGAGCTGCTGGGAAAATGGGGTGGGGAGACTCTCCCTGGATACCAGAGGGGACACAGAGAGGTCCCCAAGGGTGCAGAGATGCAAAGCAGATCTCGGGCATTCTGGGCTCCTTCGGAGTGCATGCAGGGCCCCAGGGCTTCTGTGGGAGGCCCTAGGTGTACTGGCAGCAGGCTGGCGAGGCGTCGGGAGTGAGGAGAGCCGCAGGGGGCTCTAGAGGGGCTGGGAATGGGGTGGGGGGCAGAAGCTGCAGCTAGGCGGTGCCGAGCATGGCTCGATGTGGGGAACCCAGAAGCCGTGGGGATCGAGGAGCGGCAGCGGCCACCCCACGGGGCGGTGAGGGGACATGGTTTGGATCCCCTGTCCAGGAAGCAATGGCCCGGCCGAAGCCCCATCCGCCTGCCCGCCCCCGCCCACCCAGCCGAGGAGCTCCCTTACCTATTGAGCTGAGGAGAGGCTTGTCTCGACAACACTGCCCAGATAGCTGAGATCAATCAGAAACAAAGCAGTTATCAACACCGGCCGGGGGGGCACCGCCCACGCACACCCAGAGGGAAGCAGGGGGGGACACAGCGAGCACCGGACAGGCGAGGCCGGAGCATGGGGGAGGGAGGAGGAGAGAGACGGAGACCCAGACACGATGGAAGGAAGCAGATGAGCTGAGCGCGCACAAAGCACAGAGACAGGGCTGCCGCGGCACGCGCCGCGCACACAGAGACGGGGCTGCGGCTCCTCCACCTCCCTGTGCCCTAAGCCCCGCACCCCCTTCACCAGCCCGGAAGCAGCCCACCATGGGGCTGGGGTGGGAGGTGACCTTGTACTTCCAGGTACCAGGGAGGGTGGGGGACGGGGCAGGGGGAGGGCGCTGGGCTCCCTCCTCCTCGACCACCTCCCATCCTGCCTACCACCAAGCCAGCCTCCTCTGGAACTCTCTGCTCCCTCCACAGGCGGCTACATCAAGAGAGACCAAAGGACGGAGCCAGAGAGAGAAAGAGAGAGAGAAGAGGGCAGGGAACGGGGTATCCAGGGGCACTACAGAGGCGTGGCTGGCTCTTCTGAGCAAGTCAGGTCAACCCAAAGACGATGGAGAGGAAGGAAGATAGGCAGAGAGAAAGAGTGAAGGAAGGAAGGGCAGGGGAAGGAGGAAGGGAGGGCAAGGGAGAAGGATGAGAGAAGAAGAGGCACAGACAGGTGTCCAGGCTCTGGTACCTGGAATACCAGCTGCTACAGTTTAGAGAGTGCTCTCTCAGGCCGGCTGATCACGGGAGCTTGTCTGTCTGTCTCTCTGCAGCTTCCTGCGAGGTATACAGGTGGGGGGTGGGGGACGTGTCCTGCACACGGTCACAAGGCCTGATACTTTTCTCTGGGCCTCCAGGAGAGGCTGAGGAGGGGGCTGGAGTCCGGCGCTCATTAGGGCTGCTAAGGGCCAGGAATTTGGGAACAGGAGGCCCCTGGCCTGGTGGTCCGGAGAAGTCAGGCTCTGGGGTCCTGCTTAGCAAGGAGGAGGGGCCGGGGAAGAAAAGGAGGCTAGACACGATGTGTGTGTGGGCAACCCCCAGGGCCACTGCCCGATGCCAGGACCACAGGGACACGAAGAACCGTCAACTCCAAGAGGGACTGGGGCCACCCTTATAAGGCCATTCGCTGTGATCCGCCGCTCCCCGGTAGGTGGTGGGCCCGCTGAGAGCTCAGGGCTTGCTGGAGAAGATGCCTCATGCTCCCGGCAGGACACCTGAGCAGGTGAACCCGCTCCACCCCAGCGACTGCACCCTGCCAGTGCCGCAGCGGCCAGAACTCCTCTCCCGAGGGATGCTGGTGTAGCATGTCCACACAAGCCCTGTCGCCGGGCGGATGGACGGGGTGGAGGGCAGGGCGAGGCGGGAGGGGAAGGAAGTTGACCAGGTGTGGGTGGCGGAAGAGGCGGCACACTCACCCTGAAGTAGGTAACGTGGGTGGTGGGGGCTCTGGTCGGAGCAATTCCTCCCCCATCCTTCGAGGGGAAGGCGTCTGTCCAAACACGTCCAAGCTGTCCCCAGGCCCCGCAGGGGCGGGGCCGGGTGGAGGGGAAGGGTAGCCTGTGGCCAGTGTGGTGAAGCCCATGGCGGGCCGGTAGCTGGGACTCCCGCTGCGGCTGCTCTGGGAGGGGGAGCCCGTGGACGGCGTGGACTTGCGAGAGAAGCTGACTGCAGCTGGCGGCTGCAGGGTGATCTCTGACATCTCTGCCTGCTGCAGGAGGCCTGGGCGAGGCCGGGCTCGGGCGGCGAGCTCAGGGGAGCCGGTGCGGGAGCTGAGGGGGCTTTGGGTCAGAGGTGAGAGCCTGGAAGGCTGTAGCACCACTTGATGTAAACTGGGCTCGGCGCGCCTGGCCTGCCGAGGGCTGGGCCGGGGCCGGGGCTGGGGCTCATACCACCGGGTGTCCAGGCCAAATGTGCTGGGGCCGCCGTGCGCCCCCGGCTCAGCCGGCTCGGGGTAAGGCAGCACGGGTATGCCCATGCCTTGGCTTGTATGTCGCAGCTGCCCTTGGCTTACCAGAGGTTGCATAGGTCTGTCCTGCCACTTGGCGGCGGGGGGCGCTGGGACAGGGCCCCTGCCGGGCGACTTGCCTGACCAAGCCTTCGGTGCCTCCAGAGACAGGATGCCCGGGTAGGCCGCGGGCACCTGCAAGGAGGTGGGGGGCAGTCCTCGGGGGAGGCCGGCCTTGGGCTGCAGACTCTCGGGCACATCACAGGGTGGCAGCTGGTGGGGGAACATCATTGCTGGGGTCTCCAGTCCCCCAAAGGGGAATTCTGGCCGGCCCCAGGGCTCAGGAGAGCGCCCTCCTGTAGGCGTCTGAGTCAAGGGCAGCGTGCTATTAGATGCGTTCTCTCCATTCTCCTCGGGGATGGTGGGGTGGCCAAAGGGCCCCTCGGTGTGCAGGGGTGGGGACGACATGGCGGAGCTGAGGGGGCTGCCCACTTCTGGCACGTAGAACGGGGGTGGCTCCACCTCCCCAGGGCTGCTGCTGCTGAGGTACCCATAATACTGGCCATGGTGGAAGGACCGTGGGGCAGGGGGCCGGGCCTGGCCCGTGGCCTGGAGCCGACCTTCCAGGCCACCAGGACCCTCCAGCCCACGGGGCTGAAACCGAGGGCTGTATGCTGGTGGTGGCAGGTAAGACTCCTGGCTGGACGACAGAGGCGTGAGCTGGGACTTCAGGGCGGCCACAGACGTGGGCACCAGGGGGTCCTCGTTCTCCTCGTCTGACTGGCGGAACTCGGGGTACATGTCTGTCTCCTCGGCGAAAGGGAAGCCCTCGATGCGCCTGGTCTTCAGCGAGGGCTCCATCTCGGCAGGGTCCATCACGAAGCGGCCATCAGGGCCCCTGCTGATGAGCTCAATGGGTGTGGTGGCCTCCGCCTCAGCCTCTGCTTTGGCCACGCTGTACTTCTTGCTGCTGATGGCCCGCTTGGTCTTCTTGTACAGCGACAGCTCCTTCTCGCGGGTGGGGCTCAGCATCCTCTTGGCTGCGGGCTGGCCCTGGTCATCCGAGGACTCTGACGGTGCCCGGAGCGTGCGGATGCTCTCGGGGCTCACCTTGCCAGAGGACAAGCTGCAGGGAGGAGCGAGAGCCGGGAGGGGATGAGGCGGGGGAGTCTGCTGGCCAGGACTTCCTTTCCCTCTCTTGGCAACCACCCAGCACCCAGGATCCTCATGCTAAAGAAAACTGGCTTTGTATCGTGGTGTGAAATGCTTTGGCCAACTCTCCACTGTCTGGACGTGCATCCTTCTTTTTTTTTTTTTTTTTTTTTTAAGACAGGGTCTTGCTATGTTGCCCAGGCTGGTCTTGAACTCCTGGCCTCAAGCAATCCTCCTGACTCAGCCTCCCAAAGTGCCAGGATTACAGGTGTGAGCCGCCGCGCCTGGCCCCCCCATCATCCATCTTTCCAATGAACCCCCCTCCTCCACTTCTGTGCTGGCCTGCCCCTTCTCTGGTGTGCTGTAAGCACACCTCCAGCTTCATTTCCCAGCTGTTCAAGACAAGCAAGCTCACTTTAAAATCAACTTAAGCAATACATATTAAGGAGGCAAATCTGCTAGGGTGGGAAAACACCAGAGAAATACATTCCAAGTCTGAAGAGAAACTGATTACTGGCTAATTTGGGTCATCTACCCTGCCACTCCCTCTACCACTGTGGACAACTTACAATTAACACACAGGTCAATCAAGAGGAAATGGCTTAAAGACACTGAGATGGGGCTAGGCAAAGCAAGCCGTCTACACACACACCCCCTGCCATGAACAGCACAGTTCTCCCAGGATCAGAGACACTTACGGAGACTCCAGGCTCTTCCTGCAGTGGGTGATGGAGAGTGGAGGGTCTGGAAGGAAAAAGAAGGGGAGAGGCTGCTGAGGCCGAGCCAGCAGCCACGCAGCATGCTCATCTGCAGGGGCTAATGGGGCCAGAGCACCAACCCTAACCCTACTCACAGTGGGCATCTTGGGCCCCTGCCTTCATGCTAGCTTGGGCCCCAGCAGCCTCTCCCCACCACCTCTGCTTCTTAACCCCACTTTCAAATCGAGTCTCACAGGCAGCTCTACCCACAAGATCTCAATGTCCCTATTTCCAAGGGGGGCCATGCTAAAAATGATCCGTCTCTCTTGATGGGGAGCATTTGAAACCAGGCCAGGGAGAGCGAGAGAAGGGGCCAGACACCCACCTTTTTTGCGCTTGAGCTTACGCTTGCGCTGCTTGTTGACAAAGCAGGCGGCCAGGGTGCTAAACAGGATGGCAGCTGCCAAGAAGCAGATGGTAGCTACGATTCCCGCCAGCACAGGCCGCGCCAGCCCGTCCTCGGTCAGGTCCGGCTGCGGGAAGATGTCTGCAGGGAGGGTGGGGAGCACTCATGAGCCCATCCTTCCCCGGGTCCTCACCTGCTCCGACCTTCAGTCCCCCAGCATTTTGCCCTGCCTCTGTAGAACAGATAGTATCAAGGCTCAGGCTCCCTGCTGAACTCTAGCACTGAAGAGGTTTGGATGGCTCAGGAAGAAGAGAAGAGAGTCTACAGAAATCAGTCTCTACAGAGTGTGTAAAGAAGAAAACACCCATGGGGATAATGACTTCAAGAGTAATCTATACTTATCTAGGGTGTTACCTTCTACAAAGTACCTTCATGCACGTTATCAGCTCTTCTCATTTAACCCCTTGAGCTAGACAGAGCACACATACTGCTCTCATCCTCCAAATGAAAGAGCTCTGATCCACTGAGTTGGAGAGACCTGCTTATGTGGATATTGCCATCAGTGCTCAAACTAGAATGCAGCAGCCTGCTCCCAGTCTGGATTTCCTGCCTCACACCATGCTGTCTCTACAAAAGGAGAGCCCAGGTGTGAAGGCAACTTGAGGATAAAATACTACAGCAGGAAGAGGGATTATTACTACAAAATTCAGATCCAAATGTATTTAACCCTTTCTAGCACAGGCATGCACCTCAGGTACAGAAGGACCCTCGAGCTGGCAGGGATGGCAGAGATGGATCCAAATCTCCCATTTCACAGCAAAGAGCTGAGCATCCTCCTTTCCTGCCCAAGGCTACAGAGCTCGTTATGATGGAACCAAGACTAGACCCCAGCCTACCATCTTATAGAAAGTTATAGCGGTAAGTGCCGCTGCTTAGGTTCAGCAAAGGCAAAATCAATAGATTGTAATGTATTTGGCCAGAATTCATTGCTGCATCGATAGTAATAATGGATAAAAATAATCCAAATTATGCTGATTGTCTGAGTGGAAAATGAATGCAACAGCCTTTGGAAATGGGGGACTTAATACAGGGAATGCTGGGGCTGCTGCCTCCTCCTTCACCCGCATGGGAAGGTCTGACGAGGCATGTTTCTTGCCAGGAGCCCGTATAAAGCTACTAAGCACAGAATGGTCTGGGGTGAGTCCACACAACACCCTTCTTCAGCTCCAGCCTTGGCTGCAAGCTCTCATCCCAGTTCCTCCATCCCTGAGTCTTTTCCCCAGAGAGAAGTCAAGAAGGACTCTGGGTTCTGCTACCTAAGGGACACAACTCTGTTTTTCTTAAAAAGCCTGCTGGTGCCTAATGCCTAATATATGAGGCAGGAATCCCACTCCACACCTGCCCCTGCTGTCGTGCTGCTCCAGTGCGCCCTCCCACAGTGTGCCCACACCAGCACTTCCCCAACTCCACAAGTCCTGCTGCATGAGCTCCTCAGACAAGGTCACCACCACCTGCTCCCAGGAGTCTCTGGGTGAGTGGTGCCCAAGGAAATGATGCCATCACTTGCTTATAGGCAAGAGCCTCTTCCCATACCAAGGATACCCCTTCACTGGGGGAGGGACTCTGCTATGTCTCAGGAACTATATAGCTGGAGAGAAGATGTGTAGAAATGGGACCAGGGCCAAGAAGAAGAAAGATAAATGGAGATAATGCTAGGGAGTTGGCTTTATTTAGCCTTAAAAATCTAGAGAGGAAGGAAAGGAGGAAAACAACACCAAATAACAATTTTCCAAATAAAACCCAGATAATTATAAAGAAGTCTATCACAGGCATTCGATAAACATTGGCTGACCTGGTGTTTCCTCTGATTCACAGACCCTCCCCCACGAGGAAACAGAAAATGTACAGTGAAGAGCCCTTCAATCAAGTCCTTTCTGACTACCAGAATGAGAAGATTAGTTGAATTTCTTTCTGTGGCTATCTTATAAAAGTGTCAGAAACTCAGCTTCTAAGCTTCACGACATACCACGCATCATGGAAACACCGGTTTGGTGGGCTTAAGAAAGGCTACAACTCGCACAGTTGCAATGAGACACCTCCTTAGTTTCCAATCCAGCCTCTCCTCCTGGAGTAGCTATTTCACAAAACAACTTCCATGCAGCTCACCCTCAACCCAAAATACCTGTGCTGGAGACGCCGGCGATGTTGCTGGGCTCGCTGATCAAATCCTGCATGACGGCCAGAACCCGGAACTCGTACCATGTGTCCTACAGCCCCAGGGACAATACCAGTCAGCCAAGGGGCCTGAGATGACCACCGCCCCCACAAACACTCATCCCGCACAGAGCCTTGCAAAGAGCAGGACACCCAAAGCACAGGAGGACTGCTAAGTAGCTGCTAAGTGATGGCGGCACTGGCCAACTGCTGTGGTGCAAACACTGTCACGACAGCTGACTTCAAGATACGAATGTGAGGTTATCAAAAGCATGGGGAAGAGATGTAAAGTAGGCTCTCCAGGGCCATTGTGAGCTGACTCTAGCAACCACTGTTAATAAACGAGCATCCAGGAAGGAAGACAGAAGGACAGATGAGATTGTCTGTGTCTTACAAAACCAGCTGCTTCCTCTCCCCAGCTAGATATGGAAGATTAACAGGGCTATTGGAAAAACAGATAATGCACTTTCTTCCAGGGACTCTAAATTATTGGAGGAGGGGTCCTTCCCTGGAGAAACCTAAAAGAGAATTCTTCTAGGAACTTCTCTGCCCACCCCAAGTGACAGAGAAGATTCTAAGAAAATTCTAAGTGTCTTTCTTCCAACCAAGAAAGCAACAGGAACTCGGCCAACAGCACTGGCCCTGGCTCAGCAAGGGGCCAGGGCCAGTCCTCTGATGACGCTTGCTGGCCTCACAGCCTGCCCTGCCTGGCTGTGTCAGTGCTGGGACCCTCAACAGAACACAGGTCCCTGCTGTCCCAGAGCTGGCCCCAAGCCTGTGAAACCTCAGCAGCCATGGTCTGAGAACAGGCCTTGGTAGTGAATCTGGGAGAATCCAGGACTGGTGGTGAGGACCTCAGACACCCAAAGTTGGTCACTTAAAGCTTCCAGTGGCTCTGGAGTATTGTCACTTCCAGGATTTGGAAAGCAGCAGCTAGGAAGAGCAAAGCCCTCACCTGTGACAGATCCTTGGCAAAGAACTCTCCATCAGTGCCGGGGATGGCATCATCCAGCATCTCCCAGCGCTCCGCGACGCGGAACTCCATAACATAGCGGTCAATGGGAAAACTGTGGTTGGCAGGCGGAAGCCAGGACAGGAGCACACCCTGCTGAGTCCGATTGGCTATGAGGCACCTCGGTGGGGTGACCAGCACCAGGGGTTCTGGAGTTGTAATAGGGAATGCTGCAGCGGGGGAGGGAGAAGAACCATAGCACATCAGCAAGGCCCAGAGCGGCCGTCGCACTCCCACGCTACTGTACACGCACATCAGGGCCCAGAGGGTAGCGGAGTCAGGGCTCAGCAGCCCAGGACTTCAGGGTTCTGTCTTCAGAGTACTTCTAAAGAACATACATGAGGGAATCATGTACCGCAAAGTGAAGAGAAATGGGAGCTACAAGGAAGGAGGAATAATTAAATGTCATCAAAGCATCTCCTGCACTCTTCCAGGGAGCTAGGGATATCTTCTTTCTCAAAGAACAGGAGTCACTCTCCCCAGTCCCTCCTTGGCCAGAGTTTGGGGGTCAATACGAGGCCCCACAGAGGTGCCAAAGACTGGGGGTGAGCATCCCAGCCCACTGCCCACCTTGGCAGCCACTCAGGAGTGGATTCTGGGAACAGGGCTGGAGTCGCACCACCACACCACCTGGGAAGAGGCTGTTCACAGCGGCCCTTTCTCTGGCTCCAGAGCAGAGCAAACACAACTATGGCCAGGTGGGGAGGAGTACGAGGCTGCCTCCAGGAAGGTGGATCAACCATGGCCTAGATGACTCCGTGGTGGGAAGCAGCCGCATGCCTACAGCCCAATGGGGCTGGGGCCAAAACAAAGAGCCAGCAGGCGGTGCCAAGGAGGGAGAATGCCCAATCTCCCCTGAAAGCCACAGAAGTGGCAAATGTGGCCTCACAAGGAAAGAGAAAATTCTAAGTGTTTTTCTTCCAACCAAGAAAACAACAGGAACTCGGCCAACAGCGCTCTGATGCAGGACCAGCAAACCCCACAGAGGCCACAACGAATCCTTACAGGGAGATCAGACGGCACGGCTCTGTGGAGCACTCAGCAAGGTGCACACAGGAGACCAACTGCTGGCTGCCTGGGCCACTGCCCCCACCACCTCTATGACCCCCGCTCCCGACATCCCCCCCGCCGCCCTTACCTAAAGTGCTCACAGTGACCACCTCACTGAAGGCGCTGGTTCCCAGCTTGTTCTGGGCCAGGACGCTGAACTGGTACACTGTCTCAGGCTCCAGGGTGTCCACTAGCAGCCAGCTGGGTCCCAGCGGCACTGGCAAGGACAGCCAGTCATGGGGCCCAAACTGTGCCCGCTTCATCCTGGCCAAAAGAGAGAGAGAGGATAGGGGACGAGGGGCGGGGTGGGTTACGATGGAGAGAATAGGATGCATGCAGGGTGCTCAGGGAGAAGGCACTGGTGGGCCTGGCGTTCCCAGGTTCAAGGGCAAGAAGAGGGCATGGCCCAGGGTGGCCCAGCTTTGGCTGTGCCAATCCTCCTGATGCTGGGTCACCAACTACAGCTAGCACCTTCTCTATCGAAGGGGCCTTAAGGTACAAGTCATGCTCAGGACACTGGTCAAATTAATTACCAGCTGCATTGTGGGAGAATCCCACCCTGGTCACAACCCTAAGAGCGAGCTCTGCCTTGGGAGAGTAAGGACACTGGGTTATGGGGATAAGCAGCTCAACAGTGGCGGGACAAGGGAAGGAGCCCAGGGGATCTGGCTGCACATACCCCCAGGGACAGCCAAAGCAGGGTCTCTGGTCCCCCACAGGGCTCATTCATCCAATTGCCAGCACAACAGGGGATTACATCAACAATAATGTATCAGACTTGAGTCAACTGAGATGGCCAGGTTATAAGACCATAATGACCAGGTGGCAAGGGCAGGATCCCTAAGGCCATAAGGGTTGGAAGTCACAATCTCGAAGGTCACACTGTGCATGGAGAGCAGGAAGACAGGGCAAAGGGCTTTCCCTTGTTCACAGGCCCCCAACTCCCAGCAAAGCCGGCGGGCTATGGGTGCAGTGCTGCCACATCACCACAGGGAGGAGACATGGTCCTACAGGATGGGCCTACTCCTTGCAGCCCTGAGCTGTAGCCTGGTGGGTGCCCAGGGCTCCAAGCTCACTACCATGCACACCCAGGAGGGTGAGCTGAGGCAGCGGAAAGCAAAACAAAACGAAGCCGGTGCCAAACGTTGGAATCAGTCCACGGAGTTAAAGGCAGGCAGAAGGAAAGGAGACCTCCCCAACCTCGGCCCCGCCCTTCCCCACCCCAGGCAACAAAGCAGCGAGCCAGATGTGGAAAAGCAGTGCAGATGAGCAGCAGCGTGGAGCAGCGCCACGAGCAGCAGGGGAGCCCCAATCTATGCCCAAGCTCCCACTGTATGCCCAGACCTCCCACCCAGGCATCTCCAAAGACAGGCTGGCCAGGCCAGACCTCCCTCCCTGGCCACCAAGGCGCTGAGCAGCATGGGCAGGCTGGTTAGGGGCCCCACGCTGCTGCGGGAGGAACAAAGTCAGGGGATGGGAGATGAGCTGCTGAAACTCCCCTCATCTAGGTGCACTTCTCCAATCCAGAATCAGGACCCCAGGACACTCCACCTGGGAAGCAGCCACCGAACCACCATGACGGGAGACAGGGCAGGTTCCCCTCTCAACTCCCCTCACTTCTTAAGGGGTCTCCCTGAACCTCCTGAGCTGCCCCAGGCACCTGCCTTTTCCTCCTCCTCAGGCTCAAGTTGAGCCTGGCTGGAAAGACAGACCTAAAAGAAGTCACTGAGGGGCTCACCCTCCTGGCTCAAGGTTGTCATCCCGGGGACAGGGCAAGTAGCTGCTGTTCTTGGCTCAGGACAGGAGTGTGGGGAGGAGCAGCTCTGGGTGGTGGGGGGGTGGGAGGAGTCAGCTAGGCTTCCATCTCCTCCTTTTTATGCCTCCGGCCCTCACCCGCTTGGCACATTTTTGAGATCTCTATCTACTGTAAGGTTTATGCAAAGATCTCAAATCACTGCATCCAGCTAAACTGACAACAGAGGAATGAAAACAATCGAGAAATACATGATCCTAGAGAGAAAATGCTGGGGCTGACCCCAGGGCTGGGAAGTGAGCATCACCTCTCCACACCAGTTTCTGTGGCCACTGGGGAAGAGACAGAATAAAAACTAGACTACAGGAGGTGGGGAGGGTGAACACATGAAAACACAGTGGGAAAGAACAAGTAAGACCTGGTGTTTGCCGGCACAATGGGGAATTACAATCAACAACAAAGTGTCATACATCCTTAAATCACTATGAGTAAAATTGGATTGTTATAAGACAAAGGACCAATGTTTGAGGGGTGATACCCCTTTACCCAATGCAATTATTATGCATTGCATTCCTGTATCAAAATAGCTCATGTACCCCATACCTGTATATAAATGTACTATGTACCTACAAAAATTACAAATGTAAAAATACAAAAGAAAAATTAAAGTTCTAAAAACTAGACTCTACACTTCAGGTTGGGCAATTTCACAAAGCCCTTGAAGAGGAGAAGTCTCTTCCAGACTCCAGAGGAATCCAGAGGATGAAGCAGGACGCAGAACAAAGCAGCAGATCAGCAGGGAGAGGGCACAGAGAAGCCTGGACCACTCAGGCCACGGGGATACAGCCGTGCCCAGAATCCCTTCAGACCCCTCCCGTTACCCACAAGGACCTGTCACTGTCTCAACCCACTTCACTATGTGCAGGGCTGGCAGGCCAGGAACCACCGCCTTCTCCTACCTCCCCCCACCCAGGGTGGCCTGCAGGCAGATGGGGGAGGGGAGAAGCAGAGAGCAAAGCATGCCGGGGTGACTCACAGAGGTCCGTACCAAACTGAGAATGTCTGCTCGTAGCCTCCATCATAGCCTGGTTCCCAGGACACGTTGGCAGTTGTCATGGAGACCTGGACCCGGACACTGCCCGGGGCATGGGGGCTGGTGCCTGGAGATCAAGTGGGGACCTCTCAGACTGAAAAGAACTCAACCACGTGGCTGGGCACCCACCGTCTCGCTGTGGGGAACCCGAGAGGCTGAAGCACGTGGTAGCAGAGCACAATACTGCAAGTGAAGGGATGGGGGCAAGGGGAAGCAGTCAGGCGCCAACTCCCCTGACCCTACTGGTTAGTGGGGTTGGAGCAGGAAACCTGTCCCACTGTGCGGTCTAGTCCAACTAGGAGATCACACAGCATCAGGAACGGGTCCAAGGGAAACCAGAGCCCTCTTCGTCCTGGCCCAAATCCTGTGCTGCTCTGGTCAGCACAGAAACACTCCCTGCTAAGGTGTAGGCATTGCCACAGAGTCCCCTCCTGTAAGGTTCTCTGGTCTCATGAGACAGCTTCATTCTACCCCAATGCCAGCATGTGGCCTGTACAGCACAGCAGTCAGGAGCCTCATCCTGGCTTCGAATCCCGGACCCACCACTTCTTAGTGATATGACGCCAGAGAAAGCGTTCAGGCCACACCAACCTCTGCTTGAAGGAACATGCACCAGGGAAACCCCAGCTAGCACCTCGAGAGCTGTGCAGGACAAGCTGTGCAGACCCTTGGAACAGAAACTAAAACTGGTGGCAAAGGCTCAAAAAGTGTTGGCTGTGACCATGATTATAACCATCAGGACCCAGAAGGACAGGCTGAGGGTACAGGCAAAGGCCCCAGGACACACAACTTGAGCAACTGGAAACAGGAACGCCTGGACACAGAACACCAGTAACTTCCTCCTGCCCGCCTCAGCGCACCAGGTCTGGCCTGCAGCTGTCAGCTCTGTGCCCTCATCTGAGATACTGCACAGCCCCTGTCTCCCTCATTCCATCTTCCAGCCTTCCCCCTAGGCCCTTAAACTCGAAGGCTCCACAGTCCCTGCCAGCCACACAGCCACCTCTTTCTCTCACGTGGACTGCTGGGTACATTAGACCTGTCCCCAAAAGACCTCCTTGAGGACAGGAGCCACACTGACCTTCCCTGACAGAGCCCACAGGCCAGGGATGCATGTGCTGGACTCGGGGTTCAGGGCTGGACTGACTTAGGAAGGACCCCCCCCAGCATCCAGCACCCCACCCCCAGCCAGCCTGCTCTCGCCCCGCCACCCGGCCCAGCCTGCCAGCCACGTACCGATGACGGTGAGGTGGGTGCTGGCAGTGATGCTCGTGACCACGTTGGTGGCAACACATTCCCACTCCCCGTGGTCCTCCTTACTCAGGGCACGGAACTGCAGGCTCCCACTGGGCAGGGCACTGTGCTTGCTTCTGCTGGGCTTCCCTACCTTGGCCAAACAAGGGGCAGGGAAGAGGGTGGGAACAGAAATAGGGGTGAGAAGCCCAAAGCAGGTGGGAAGTACATGCCTGAGCCCCGCCCCCCACCCATGCTGCCCCTCCTCCTGAGTGCCTGCTGCTCTTCAGGGTCAGCTCACTGCTTAGGATCTAGTGTGATCAGGGCAGGTCCAGAACAGAACTGCTCACTGAGTCCTCACACCTCCCCAAGGCCCCAGGAGCTCCAGGGCCCAGGTACCTTTCTCCACGTGATGACAGGAAAAGGGTCCCCTGCGGCTGCGCAGGGGATAAGCAGCTCCCGGCCGGCCTCCTGCCTGTACTCCCAGCCTGGTAGCACCGTGAAATATGGGGGGTCCTGGGGAGGAAAGCACAGGCACCCTCATGAGACCAGGGATCCAGGTACTCAGCTCATGGAAGCCATCACAGCCCCGGGACCTCACCTTCAGGACAAGCCTCGCAGGGGCAGACTGGCCCATGGTCCCCAGGGTGTTGTAAGGCACACAGGTATAAGTGCCAAGAGCCTCCTCTGTGGCCTCCTCAATTCGAATGGAGCCATCCTCCATCAGGGTCCAACCCAGGTTCTGCCAGACACAGATGACAGAACGGGGAAACACTGGTTAGAGACTCCTCATTCCATGCCAGCTCTCCCAGGCTGGGTCCCAGCTGGGCCAGACAGCACATGGGATGGCACAGCAGCTCCAGCCTGGGGAGAACGGCACCCACAGACCCCAGGAGACCACAGACCCCTACGGAAGCAGCTGTTTTCCCAGGGCTTTTGAAAGGGGCCAGGAGTCCTGGCAGAAATCCAGAGCCCAAAGGTGGTATTACAGCGCCGGGGGGAGCCCTCACTCTGACCCCCAACATGCATCTCTCTAGTACCTTCTCAACCTGCAGGGGACGGCCGTCCTTATTCCACTTGACCACGGTGGCCGGTGGTTCTGCGTCCACAGGGCAGCGGATGTAGCCATGGATCCCCACGGGCACGTAAATTACAGGGGGCATGTTGAGGACACGGGCTGGGTCTGCACAGGGGAAGCGCAGGTGGGAGAGCAGACAGACACAGGGAAGCCAGGTGAGAATCCAGGCTGAAGGCCGCCCATGCACCAGCCCAGGTGCTCAGAACTTCTGCTCGAAATGTCTGGAGGCACTGAAAGGCACGTACGTCCAAGCCCACTCCAATCCTCAACACTGCTGCCATGCTTCTGCCATGGACCTTACCCGCTGGGCGAGGACTCTCAATGTCCATTTCCCTCAGTTCCTAGACCCCGAACCTCAAAGCCAACATCTGCCCACACCCTTTCCCAACTGTTCCTTATCCGTCTCCCGAGCAGCAAGCAATTCCCCTTTCCACATCCTGAGCCAAGAGGAAGACCGTCATAGGCTTAACCTTAAGAGGGGAATGTTTCCTCCCATTCTGCTAGCTATCCAGCCTTCCTTGGCATCACTTTTCCCCATCTGATTGTGCAGCTGAAATGCAGAATCAGGCCAGGTGCAGTGGCTCACACCTGTAATCTCACACTTTGGGAGGCTGGGGTAGGAGGGCTGCACGAGGCCAGGAGTTTAAGACCAGCCTGGGCAGCAAGGCTCCAAATCTACCAGGAAAAGATTTTCATTATCTGGGCGTGGTGGCACACACTTGTGGTCCCAGCTATTCTGGAAGTTAAAGCAGGAGGATCACTTAAGCCTAAGAGTTTGAGGCTACAGTGAGCCATGATAGCACTACTGCACCCCAACTTTGATGACAGAGCCAGATGCCGTCTCTAGGAGGAGCAACAAGGACCCCACACCTCTTGTGGTGTAGGCTGAGTCGCCTCCTCTCAGTACTCCCCTATTTCCCCTGAGGGCTACAGAGGAGAAGGATCCAGAACTAGGAAGGCAGTGAGGATGAATGAGCTGGTATCTTTTAAGCGTTTTGAGCTCTTCAGAGAACAGCATTACATAAATACCAGGCCGAGTTATATATTTAGACATAGCTTCCTACTTTTGCATGGTAGAGTTTTTTTTCCCCCTCCAAGGTTTTCAAAGCATTTATGAATGGGAAATACTCTGAACACTGCTTTTTAGCAGAAATAAAAATCCTTGTCTCACCCACCTGTAAATCTCAACCCCCTGGATTTTCTTTGAAGGCAGGAGAAGGTAAAAAAGGACAAGGGGGAGTGGGTGGTGACGCTGGCACCGGGGAAACAGGGAAAAGCAAAACATGTCTCCAGAAAGACAGATGGCCTATGGCCTCAAGGTGGGAGCCTTCGTCCTGGCCAGCTCGTCTTCCAAAGGCCACCACCTGTTGCCTCCTCCTGCCCCACCATGGCCACCTCCTTGCCAGGTGGCACAGACTGTGTCCAGCGAGGAGGGACGGGGCACACCTTTGTGTTGGCCGGGTCTCTCCTTCCTGCAGTTCTTCCCCACCCCAGCACAGCTTGGGCCCATCCTAAATCACGTATGAATAACTTCTTGACTTGCTTTTTCCCGCTGCAGCTCTGGGGAGCTAGATGTGCTGTCCTGGGCCTCACAGCTCTCTAAAGCTTGGGCCTGGGAATACAACACACCAAAAGCCCTTTAAGTGGTTGACAGCTGAAGCAGAGAGGCAATGCACTCCAGAGAGAGGAAACAGTGAGACTGCGAGGTTAGGGTCCAATGGGGCTCGGCAGGGGCAGCATGCTCCACCACCGTGACCAATGGTGGACACGTCCACATCCAGCTCTGCGCAGCAGCAGACCAGCTCCACTTCCAGGGGCCACCAGCCGTTCTCCATTTGTCCTCAGCTCATTCACTGACTCTAGTCTTGTCTCCAGACTGTTCCACTTCTCACCCCTGCCACTCCCTGTCACTGGGTGTGAGCAATCCGCCCACACCAGCCGGCAAATGATGGAGAGTCTGTCGTCTACAGCAACAACGCCAGCCTTTGTTGCCTGAGTGACAGGGCCGTCCGCAAATCAAAAGGAGGACATTACTCCTCATTACTCATCCTTCTCTGTCTCAGGTCTCAGCTTGCCAGGGGGCCGGAAAGCAACTGGCTGCTCAGTATTAAAGATCAGCAAGCTGAATAGTGGTGCTTGCACAAAAGCCCTCAAATGTCTGGGTGAGGAGCAGCTCATCTGTCTGGATCTCCAGCCACCCAAGGAGAGAAGCCCCAGAAGCCAGAAGGAGCAGGCACAGGAACTGGATCACATCGCCCCCAACACAGATGCGGTGTGGCAAGGCAGGGAGTGAGGCTGGGAGAAACCTAACCCCACATAGGCCTAGGCTATGCTCCATCAGACACCCGAGAAAAGGGCACCAGAGAGTGACTGGTTCTGGGCACAGAGGTGCAGGCAGCTTTCAGCCCGAGGACCACCATCCAGAAGGAACTGCTCGAAGGGTGTCTTCCTGAGTGCAGCCTGCAATGAGCTGATGAGATGTACTGACTGAACAGTGACGCCTGGCCAACGAAGGAGGAGCTGGTCCACCCCGACTGGCCAGGGCCTCAGCCTCCTCTCCAGCCATCCTCCTTCTTCCCTCATTTGTTCCTCTACCCACATTCCCCCAAATGATGCTTGGTCTTTGCTGCCCTCCAGCCTACAGTCTGGCTAATACCAGAATCTTCTGGGGGCCCCACCACCCAGGCTCCCCTGCACCCCTACTTACACTGCACCGTCAGGTACGCCGAGGCGGAGGGGGAGCGCCCCAGGCTGTTGCTGGGCACACAGGTGTACTTCCCCGAGTCCTCCGGCTTCACCCGGAAGATGATAAGGGTCCCGTCGATTAGGATGCGCACCCTCAGCTTCAGGTCGCTGCAAAGCGGCACAGAGACAGGGGGTTGGGCGGGCAGAAGGGGGTCTTGCTGAAGACACATAGTCACCATCACTGCCCCAGATGTGGCAAGGAAACCCCATGCCTCTGGCATTCCCAGGGCCCTTCCATGCAGACCCTGGCCTTGGCATGTGGGACACACAGACCAGACCGCCCGCCCCCCCAGATCCCAGAGCTGTGGGCAGCCTGCCGTGTAGTTTCTTCTCAGGGGCCCTGCCCATGGGGGCTGGGGCGGTGACCCCAGTGAGAAAGTCAGAGCACAGTGCTCACTTCTGAAAGTAGACGTTCTCGTCCTGCCAGTACCAGGTGTAGGTGAGGTTGCCTGGATACGCCTCTGCCCGGCAGGTGAGCAGAGCATCCTGGGAGATGTTGACGGTGATGTTCTCAGGAGGGGAGACGATGAAAGGGGGCCCTGGGGAGAGCAGGGAACAAATCCCACCTCACCTGATCAGGGATCGCAGCAGCACCCAGGCCCCCTGGGAGCCCTCAGTGCCCAGGAAGGGGTGCCCTGAACCCTGCGATGGGGACAGCTGTCATGCAGATGCTTCCAGATGCTATGTGTGCTCCGGCATCCTGTCCACCACCCCTGCCCCCGCACCTAGCTCCCCAGACCACCCACCACACACACCACCTTCCTGCCCGCCTTCTCCCAGCAGAGCCTTGGCCAGAGACGCAGCAGGGAGAAAGGCAGCTCTCTTCAAATCTGGGGCAAGAAATAATCCAGTCTCAAGGAGTCAGGTCTATGTGCCACTCCCCAGCCAGAAATAAAGACGGCAGGTGGGGGTGCAGACGCCTAGGCGTAAGCAGAGGGTGAAAGTCCAGCAGTCCTGGTGTTGGATGTGCAAACAGAGGGGAAAGCTGTGGCCCAGTCTCCCCTGAGAGGGAACAGCTTCCATCCAGGCTCCTGAGGGACCTCCAGCCCTGACTGCTGCTCAGCACTCAGAGGCAGGAGGAGCGTGCAGCTGCCACCAACTGCCCAACCCCAGAGTTCCTCCAGGAGGCAGGTCTGGGGAGGCCGAGCAGGAGGCCGAGCTCAGCACAGTGGGGAAACCCCCCAACCTAGATGCTGCCCTGTCCTGTGCAGTTTCTGGCCCATCTTGGGGAACTCTGGGGCTCCAGGCAGGGCACACTGGCATCTCCCCGTGCTGACTGTACAGACCCCAGCTCTGCCAAATGCCCACTGTGTTATTTAAATGTCTGGGGCTTGGATTGAGTTTCTATCTTTATTTATTGATGCCATCACTAATGGATAGATGACCCGAGGGAGGTCTCCTCTCCCAGGGAGGCGGAGACATGGTAGAGATGCTATCTGATCAGGAGAAACCAGAAACCCATGCAGCAGGGGCTCCTCTGCCACGCCATGTGGTGCCCGGCCACAGCCTGCAGGCCCAGCCCTCTCCCAAGCAGCCCACGTGGGAGCTCTGACCCGGACTGCAGGTGGCGCACAGGAGCCCCACACGGCTCTTCATGGATGCCCACACCTCCACCAGCCCCAACTGAGCCCTGGGAAAATCCTTCCATAGCTCAGCCGGACTGGACATCCCTGCAGGAGCCCGGGGGTAAAGAGGTTGAGGAAGTGGCTCCTACCTTGGACAAGCAGGTGGGTCGTGTGGACAGCCTCCCCTTGAATGCTGTACGCTCGACAGGTGTAAGCACCTCTGTCCTCCCGACTGACCGATGTCACTGTCAGGCTGCCGTCACTCACCTGGGGGCCCAAAACAGACAGAGCTCAGCACCCACGCTCACACCCAGCACCGCTACCTTCAAGCAGGAAGATGCAGTTGGAAACACGTAAGGAGGTAAACACAGGGACACGCATCTGGGGACACCGAAGGCCAGGTGCCCCCCTGCCCACCTCCCACCAGTGACACAAAGACGCCTGCAGCTGAGCCAGGCCACAGTTTTCCAGCCTCCTCTGTGCTTGTGCACATAGCATCAGGGGTCACCTGCAGTCAGGGGCTGCCCTGAGGACAAGGGGAAAGAGACTGCAGGGGCCCTACCTAGAACCACACTTACCTGGTATTTCCCACTAGCACCGAGGAGCATCCCCTCCTTGAGCCAGGTGACGATGGGCTTGGGGTTCCCAAAAGCTGTGCAGGTCATGGTGATACTACCACCCTCCTTGGCCTCGATGTACTGGGGGGGTGTTTCTGTAAAGGTGGGAGGGGCTGCAAAGGAGACCACAAAGGTGAAGGACACGCCTCAGCCAAGTCGATGCCCTGCAAGCAGTGCCTCCCCCACACAGCACCCTCACCGTGGGTCTGCGGAATCCAAGGACAAAGGAAGGAAGGTCGGGATGGGCAAAACTTTCTGCCTACCAACGTTACCAGGGAGACCTGCATCCAAACCCAGTCTGGCTGGTACAAATCCTGTACTGTAGCTCATTCCAGTTCACTGATGTTTACTGAGCATCTACTCCAGGGGGCCGTTACAGCACACTGTGTGCTCCCAGCTCCCCAGGCTCTTCTACCATCCTCCAGTCCTTCCCCTTAGGATGACCCATGACACCCAGAGCTCCTCCTTCTTGAACTCCAGCTCAGCCAGGTCCCCACATTTCCAGAACACTTGCCATCTGAGCCCCACCAAGGCCTAGCACAGGTGTAGGCCAAGGCTACACAGAGCCTCATTTTCCCAGATTCTGCAGAGAAAAGCATCCAACTTCCTCCCTCTCTGGTTTCTGTGGATGAAGGTGGACAGCCCATCCGAGAACCACTCCCTTCTTCAGTTTTCTGATTATGCCAGGTCATCTTCCCCCTTGCATTGGAGATTTGATTAAAACTCCATCCTGTTTGGATAATCGGCTTTTAACAGACTCAGTCCCATTTGCCTGAGCTGCTTGTAGAAGCAATCCGGTCAATCTTAACCCCTTGGACTGTCAGTCCCACAGTCTTTTGAAATGGCAAGGAGGCTCCAAGTGCTGAACTCCAGCCCTGAGGCCCACAGCAGTAGGCTGGCACTGGTCAAGCTGAGCTCATCTCAAGGTACCTGAAGCTCAGAACCCAAGTTCGTGCAGTTCCGGTACCCTTGACAAGTTACTCAGCTTCTCTGGGTCTTACCTAAATCTCCCACCTCCAGAAATGATGTGAGGAATAAACATGTAAAAAGCAGCATGGGAAATGCACAAAGTGCCAGTATCACCACCATCACTACCATCTCTTCAGGAGCCAGCCGCTCAGGCATTCATGGGAAGCTTTAAGAGAGGTCCCTCCTCCCCACACAGCCCTGCCCTAAGAAGCAGAATGCTGCTATAGGGTCTGGTCCTGCCTGCAGCACCAACCTCATCGCCCTCCCAGCACACTCTAACCACACTGGCTGTCTTCGTCTTCCTCAAATGTGCCAAGAACGTCTGACCTCAGGGCCTTTGCCTATGCTGCTCTCTCTCCCTGCCTAGAAATGCACACCCGATCTCACTCATTTGGTTCATGCAAGTCTTTGCTAAAATGCTGCCTTATCCGGGCAGCCCATCCCATCTCAGATAGCACTTCCAGCATTCTCTACTCCCTCGCACTGTTTCATTTTCTTCAAAGCACATGACACTTACAAATCTCTGTCTCTCTGTGTGTTTACCTCCTTCTTACCTGTCCCCTTTATTAAGATCGTGGCTCCTTAAGAACAGCCCCCTTTTGCGTAGGTCACCACATGCCCAGCTTTTAGCATAGTTCCTGGATGCAGTAGCCAAGGGCTCAGCAAACGTTTGTTGAATGAACGAAAGAACGAAACAAACAAATGAGTCGTGCTCACACATACACACACCTGCAGACGAATGCCAACGCCAACACAAACACAAAACACCTCCTAAGAGGAAGACCATGGTAAGACCACTTTCATCCCCCATCCCCAAAGCCTGCAGCTCAGTGTGGGCGGGGCAGGGGCACGTGGAGGGTGACCACTGAATGAACAGGGAGCACGCATCATCGCACACAAACACACACACCTTGAGCGTCCTTGAAAAAATCAATTCTCATCACTGTCTAAGAAAATACTAAAAATAATGGCAAAAAGGCATTCGAAGTCCTTGTATAGGGCTTCTGGGACCCCAACTTGCAGGCCTCTTCCCACTGAGAGTGTGTGCTCATCTCCAACACAGACCCTTCCTGCTTAGCCTGTCCCTTGAAATATGGTTAACACGGACACTGCCTCTATAACCTCCAGCGCCAAGCTTAAAAGAAAAGATAATAAATTAAATTTACATCCTGAAGTGACACATTACTTACTAATTGCATAATTACTTTATTATTTAGGTGCTAATCAGGAAAGTACTTTGAACAATTTCTAGTTTTCAGGAAAATAATAGTTTGACTCTCAATTATTTACTGAATTAGATGTTAGCTTGCCAGCTGCATTTCCAGGCTTAATTCTTTTTCACAAGTGCCCTATAATTAATAGTGCAGGTTAGAAATAGGCTGCCCTCTCTTCCATGTAATTCACCAACCTAAAGGAAGACTTGGCTCAGGCTTTTGGGGTATTTTATATATGATAAAGAAATAATGGGTCTATTTCCATCCAACTGGTCTTCAGAGAAAATACAGAAGGAAAATGAGACAATTTGTAATTCTAATTGTTCACTGTAATTCTAATTGTTCATTTTCCAAAGGTGATGCATGTCAGAAAACGGCTGACATTAAACATTCTAGTTTGAAAGCAATGGAGTGCTGGTGCTTGGATTCCTTCCTTCAGTAACAGAAACATTTATGCTGGAAGGAGCCTCAGAACTTGGGAAGAAGGAAAGGGGGCAGAGGAGAAGGGAGATCTCTCACCTCGGAAGGGTCTGTCCTGTTCTGCCCGTGCGCAGGTAGCTGCCTCGACTATGTTAAAGCATCTTTTAGCACCAGCCCTGGTTCTCAAGCCTGGAGCACATGGTGCGCCATCCTCAGCCTTCCCACCCAGCACTTCCCTATGAACAACCTGCCCGTGTTCCCGGAATGCACTGCTCTCCTCACTCTGAGCTTCCAAGCATGCCTGTCCACTCTGCCTGGAGGACCCTATCCGACTTCCCACCTGCGTGTGACCAACTCCCCTCCCTAGCCAGATCTCTGAAGACAGGCCATTTCTTCAGAGAAGCTCTCCTTCCTTTGTGCTCCCAAAGTCATACTGCAGTCATCTCTGGATGTGACAGTCTCTTGAAGTCTCCTTAAGACCCAGGACAGAGTCGTGCATCCTGCTGTATCCCCAGAGCCTGCCACAGAGTAGACATCCAAAAATATGTTTCGAATGGACAACTGTTGGTGGATTCACAAGACTACCAAAGTCCTTTGCATCTTCCAGCCTAATAGCCCTGCTACTAGATTTTCACCTGACTTTGTTTTTTCCCTCTGGAGAAGGAAGGTGGCCGGCATCTCACACATAATTACCCACATGTAATTAACACTCCAGGCTACTGTGCAAGATCCTTTCTCTTGCAACATTTCACTGGGTCCTCACAACAAACCCTGCAAATCACAGGCACTGCTTTTTGTAACTGAGGAACCTGCGGTCCGACAGGTAAGTGACCTTGCCCAGCGCCACACAGCTAATACACAGTGCGTTTATGAAATGAGCCTCGCCTTTTAAAGGTCTTGCTCCATGCTTATCCCACCCAAAGCAATTAGGAATTCCCAAAGAACCAATTCCTACTCTTGCAAACTAACACAGATACGCTCTAGAACATACAATTGCAAGTGAGATTCGACTTTCCAGTCATATGCACATCCAATGAATGCCTGGTGTCTCAAATTCCTGAAATGAACACTGCCAACCAGGATGATGCAAAGGAATGGAGGCAGTGCCCTGAAATGATTTCACCCGCTGTTCAGGACAAAGCACAGGAGAGAAGGGAAACAATGCAGAACCCTCAGCCTGTTGTTCATCGCAGCAAGATTTTAGTGGCAGTTTTGCCTTCCTAATTACACTTTGCTTGGGCTCCTATTCCCTGCTCATGCAACAGCTGGTACCAAAAGGGGGTGACTCAAAAGCTTGCCAGGTGGTCAGAACAATCCCCCCAAGATTTCAAATGTGCTTCAATCAATCTCTTGGGACTCACTGACAGGAGCCAGCTACCTCCCACAGGGAAGGCTGGGCTAGGCAGGCTGGACCGACACCAGCTTTACGGTTTCTTTTCCCAAAGCCAATGACCTTGCTAAAACATAACATCCTCTGTTCTTTCAGGACCCCGAACAAGTTCTCAGACCCAAAAGAAACACAAGTCTGGCCCAGTAGCCACTAGGCAGGGCAGACAGAGCCACCCTTCAGGGCGGATCAATACTGAGAGAAGCTTCCAAACAGGAACATCGATTTCTCTCTTCTAACCACAGCATCTATGGTCTCGAGCATCAAAAGCAGAAGGACCTAAGCTGTATATGGCGGACCCCAGCACCCACGCTGTTGAAGCGTCAATAGGTAGCACAGTATCTGCAATACAGTGGTGGCTAGATACACTTTTGTCATCAATAGAATAATAAAGGATACGTTGTTAATTTTTTTGGCCAAAAAATGAAATAAAATGTTTGTTAAAATCCACTCCCCTCCCATTACGGGGACCACTTCTCCTTCATCATTTCTCCATGGTTCCAGCCTTCTGGCTCCTCCAGAGTACCTCCTTTCAGGGACACAAAGAGGAGATTCTCCCTCCAGGGAAACCCTGAGGACCCAGTCCCTAGTGCTGTCACTACTAGGGACCCAGGCCCTCAGCCTAGGCCAAGTCCTGGAGCTCTGAAGCTCTCAGGGCTTCCTTGCCCTTACCCAGACCCTTGAAAAGCATCTTACCAAGCACAAGTCATTTAGCCTGAGCTGTAAGTAACAGATGGCCATTTAAACTGTGACTCTTCCCAGGATGCTTGCATTTTATCAGCTGGTAAACCCACATGAGCAGGACTGGGTACGGGTCTTCCTGCCAGTGTTTATCCATCATCTGCTGCACACTACACCCTTGGTACATACTACTCAAATGAACACAGTTAAAGAGAACCAAAATATCAATCTAAAAAGAAAGACTAACTCTGGAACCCCAGGAATTCCACTGGAAATAATCCCAGTAGTGACCTTAAACCCTCAGTAACTTTTGTCTCCTTAAAGCCTCAGCCTTCCTGGTTTGAAGCAGCAGCTTCCCATGGCCCTCTAAGGACTCTGACAGCACCACGCATGCAGACAGCTGCCGCTCCTGGGTACCTGCACTGCCTGCAGAGGCTTCAGGAGGACAGTAGCAGGGGTGCTGCAGGAGCGAGCTGATGTCTTACAGGACCACCGCAGCAAGGAGCGGGCAAGGGGTAGGGCGCATTCAGAAGAGCTTCCTCTGGGGCAGGCCCTAGGGTCGGTCCTCCAGGGCTACTCCACTGATGGTGAGGTAGACCCATCCCGGAAGGAGCCCTCACTCACCGTTGATGGTGAGGTGTACCCAGCTGCCATTGTGGAAGGTATCATACTGCTGGTCCAGCATGAGCACTTTGCACTCGTACCAGCCCTGGTCCTCAGAGCGAACTTGTTCCAGCCGCAGAGATGCTTTATCATGAAGACTGGCCCGCCCTAGGGGAAGACAGCAGACAAATGCCCCACAGACCGTCAGGGAAGGCCAGCAGCTCCCCACCCCCTGCCCCAGCTAAAGACAGAGGACCCATCATAATCTTCATACCATTCCCTATGGCAGGGCCCTGGAATAACAGCTGGCACCCACACCAACAGCAGGTGGCAGAGGAAAGGGCATAGTACCTTGGCCACAGAGCCACTCTCCTGCCCCAGCTGGCCCTGCCCCAGCCTGCAAGGCAATTCAATGCGCTTGGCACTGAGAGAAGCCTCAGTTCCTTAGACTACTCCCATTGTTTTGGAGATCTCCTAGGACAAAAGTAAGGCATGATGGATACAAAGCTGAGAAGAGATGAAAGAGAGGGAAAGAGAAAGAAAGGAAGTACCAACAGAAGGTGGGGGGGGTCTCCAGCAAACCCAGGAGTACCTCCATTCAGGTTGAGCAATATCCCTATCCCAGCAGGGTGCCCAGGACTGGCTCACCCAGCTTACCTCTTTAGGGCAGAGGGAAGGCAGGCTGGGGACCAGGATGCTAGGGTCCCCTCCCGGTCCTGCTGTCAATGCCAGAGAGACTATTTATCTTACCAAAGCCCATTGACCCAAGAAGCTAAGGGCAGAAGGGCCCAGAAATCCAAGAACAAGGAAAGGATTGGCAATCAGAGCAAGCAACCCAGAGCCACCCTTCCTCAACTCCAATCCCCACCCCAGTAGGGTGCCATCTGTGTCTCACTTGTGGCAATGAGGAGGCTGGAGGTGCAGAAGCCCCTTCCATGATACCAGCAGGGTGGAGCAGCCCATGGGGTTGGCCACCAACCCCACTCTTAGCTCACCCCTCACCCCAGACAACAGCACAGCACCTCTGCTCTCCTCCTTGTCCTGACACTGGCAACCTGCCTAAAAACTAGACTCTCAAAGCCAACCCTGGTCAAAAAGAGAACATGAGACATAGACACAGGAGCAAAAGACAGACAGAGACGGAAGCATTCTGAGAAAGGCAGGGCAGACCTCAGAAGCCACCAGCAAAGATGAAAGTGAAGGCAGTGCCCTGCCTGCTTCCTCCCTTCCTTTCAACCCCAACACACTCTCACTCAATGACACGCACACACACGCACACACACCCACGCCCTCCTCTCCCGAGGGCTGGGAGGCAGGCAGTGGCATGAGTCACGAGGACACAGACAGGGCCAGGAGAAGGAGAGGACAGCATGGCAGAGGAGGCAGAGACCAGGCACCCGCAAATGGTGGGAGGCTGGAGATTCATCTGTACACTCAGGATGGGAAGGCACACTGACTTCAGAGCCAAGTGGGAAGGGGTGGGTGCCACCAGCAGGGCAAGCCACCCTGGCCCAGGGCTGCCTGACTCGGCCTGTTGTCCTCTCCATCCCACTCTCCCACCCATGCCTCTCTAGCTTCCCCCGTGGCTCCCGGCCCTCTCACACCCCAGGCGGTACTGTTTAGAAGGCTTTCCCCTGCAGCACCTCCGCTTCCCTCTCCTCCCACCGCTTAATTAAAACCTACCAGAGGACAAGGGATGGGAGAACCACTCAGAGACTGGGAAACAGAGATAAAGAGTGGTCAGGAAAAGTCAGGGCCCAGAGGGGAACCGCAGAGGAGCTGACTCCAGATGGGGAGGGCGTCGGAAGCCAGGCGCCCAGACCTTACCTGCATACTCAGGGTCCACGTGCGGGGGGTAGTAGCCAAACTTGATGAAGATAGGGATGGGGACCCCAAACTTGAACCACTCTACAACATAGGGTGGGGGCTGTCCCGTCACTGGGTGGATCACGTCGCATCTCAGGACCACGGCCTCACCAGCTCTTGCTGTCACAAATTCGGGCTCCTCTCGCAGGCCGTGGGCGCCTGATGGGGACAGCCAGGTTGGACACAGAAAAAAGGTGACAAAGAGATCCTGCCTCAGCAGCCCCATGCCTGTGCACAAGGTTGCCCCACCTCTGACCAGCCACCCTCCATGGGCTACCTGGCCCTCCCAGGAGGGCTCCACACACGCCCTCCATCTCTCTCCACCTTGCTGCTCATACCTCCCTCTGTCCTGGGGCCCCCAAGCAGCCATAACTTGGGGAAAAGGAATGGCGAAGGAAAGGAGAGAGAAGCCATTCTCTTCAGTCCTACATGCCAGACCTTCCCTCCCCAGTCTCAAAGAGCAGCAGGCGTCATCCAGCCCTACCCGCTGCTGGCATCCGGCCCCAAGAATTATAAGGAGTCGAGGACATGGAGGTGAGGGGCCTCCGCCCCCTCTGGAGGCCCACAGCACTGCCCAGCTGTGGCCACCTGTGCACACGGAACATTCTTTCTGCACCAGGACACTTCCCACTACAGCCTGGTGGGAAAGACAGAGCCAGCCTTCCTCCTCCACCCCACCCCCAGCTTAGCCTGATGTGCACGGCACAAAACAAGGGTACTCCATGCTGGATCAGGGAAATCCCTAACAAGCTCAGCCGAGGCTGTTCATGGCAACACCAGAGGGAAAGCCCCACAAGCCGAGCCAGCCTCTCCAGCCCCTCCTCCCAGCACAGCTCTCGCCAGCCCTGCCACAGACGGGGCAGTGGGAGGGGCCCAAGCTCCAGACATCGCCAATAGAACAGGATGCTGGGGACGGAGACCAGCTGGGGAGACCCCAGGGCTGCCCCTACCTTGGGCAGAGGAAAACGAAACCAGTGGGATAGGGCACACCCACAGTGGCAGGCAACAGAGGGGGCCGGCAAGGCAGCGAGCAGGAGGACCACCCCGCCTCTACCCCACCGCAAGCCAGAGGATGCTGCAGAGAGGAAGAGCCACACACCCCAAGCACTGCAGCCCCGCTCCTGGGCCCGAACAGAGCATGCAGCCCTCCTCCCAAGCCAGGCTCTGCTGCCAGGCAGGGCCAGGGAGGCCACAAGGTCACCTTGTCCAGCTACGTCCTAGGGAAAGGGATGCCTGAGGGGAAGCCTCACCTCCTTCATTCCTTGGTACTACCGCCACCCCTGCAATTGGCCACAGCTTTCCCCAGCCCCAGACCCTCCGGGTCTCAGGCCAGGCATCCGACTCTCCAAGGCAGCACCTAGGACAGCAGCTGCAGTACCAAAGCCCAAAGACAGGGAGCTGGCTGGGCCTCCTGCAGGAAAGGATGCCCAGAGGAGGGCAGCACCAGCCCCTGCCATTCCCCATTCTGGTGCCTTGGTCTGACTCCCTCTGCATCTCGGACCCGCGTGTGCACCTTCCTGTCTCCATCCCTTCACGTCTGTGTCTGGACACTTCTCTGTGTCTGTGCACAAGCACACACATGCCAGGCTCCTCTGCGTGTGTTCTCTCTCTCTCTCTCACTGTGGGCTCTCTGGCTCTCCCTCTCACTCTTTCTGTCTCTCTTATTTGTCTCTATCTGACTTCTGTGTCTATGTCTCTCTGGCTTCTTTGCATCTCTGGATCTCTGTCTGTCTTGCTGGCTCCTGTGTGTGTGTGTCTGTCTGTCTCTCTCTGGCTCCGTCTCTGGATCTCTGTGTGTCTCTCTCTCTCTGGCTCCTCCGTCTGTCTGTCTGTCTGCCTGTCTGTCTTGCTGGCTCCATCTCTGCATTTCTCTGTCCGTCTCTCTCTGGCTCCTGCTCCTCCTCCATGTCTCTCTGTATTTCTCTGTCTCTATTTCTCCCTAGCTCTTGCTCTATGTGGGTGACTATCTACCTGCCTATCTTTCTCCCTGTTTCTATCTACCAGCGTGTGTGTGTGTGAGTGTGTGTGTGTGTGTGTGTGTGTGTCAGTTGGCTCAGGCAAGGGGAGGGGCTTTGCCTGCTTCTCTGTATGCAAGGGCTCCGTCTCTGCATGTGTGTACTTTCATGTCTGTGGCTCTCCATGTCTGTCTGTATGTCATCTCTGTGTGTCTCATTCTCCCTCTCCCCCTCCCCTGCAAGTTGCGGAAGAGGGAGGAGGCAAGCCTTTCCAGAAGCTGATTGGCTCCCGGTGACATCACTGTTTTCTAGAGAAAGAGCTAAGATCACAGAGTATTTTTGGGCAGAGCAGAGCACTGCACACACCTGCCTGAGGCCCCAGCAGGTTTCCCAATTCCCCCACCCCCAACCTTGCTTCAGGCTAAGTTCGCATCCCCGCCCCTCAGGGAAAGCGGGGAGAGTGCCAGGCTGCAGCCCCGCCTCCCCCACAGCCCCAGGGGCCCTCAGCAGGAGAGCCTACCTCCCAGCAGCCAGGAGCACAAAGGCAGATGCTGGACCAAGAGGAATGGGTGAATAATGGGAACCATGAGCTTAGAGAAGCAGCATGTGTGCTCGTGTGTGTGTGTGTGTGTGTGTGTGTGTGTGTGTGTGTGTGTCTGTCTGTCTGCAGAGATAAGAAGTGAGGAGATAAGAAACTACAGGAGCTTAGGGGAAGAGGAGGGAGTTATTCCCAGGAGCCAGGTTACCTAGAGGAGGGCAGAGTGGGCCGTAGAAGGTGGTTCCTTCCCAGGGCTTTGGCCCTAGGGCCCAGGCAGGAGGAACAGAGGCCTAGGGAGACAGCAGGCGCCTCCAACAGTGAAGTTTTCCTCTGGTGAGCTAGCTTCCAGGTGGAGGGCTCTAGGGGGCAATGCTAGGAGGTGGGTGGGCTTTGACATTGGCTCCCGCTGTGAGGCTGCTCATTTGCACCTAGCCTGCCTCATTCTCACCGCATAGCAATGAAGCAGCCTTTTCACACCTTCCCCAGCACTGGGCTCCCACCCCAGCCCCAGCCCCAGCCAGTCCCTGGGCTAAGTGCTGAGCACCCAGCGTAAGGCCTACCCCCAAGGCAGGCAGTCCCCTCCCGGCATCTTTTCCCAAAGACTCTTTCAACCAGGGAGAGGCAGCTGCAGAGAGAACACACCCCAAAGAGGATAAGTAAGACAAAAATTAGAGGGAGCTTCCCCAAAATACAGCAGTGATGTGGGCACCCATGTCCTGGCCTCCATACTCAGTCCAAACCCTCTTGCTTTTCTGGATCCTAAAATATTTATCAGTTTTCCGCCATCTCCTTCACACACATATGCGCGCGCGCGCGCACACACACACACGCACGGCATGTTCTCTCACTCCATCACCCACAAGCACTTCTCCCTAAGCCTGATCGTTTCTGAGCCAAAGTATGTCTAATAACACACTCTCTCCAGAAAAGCTCAACGTGAAAAAAAGTAATCAGGCTGGCAGTAAAGAGGAAAGATGGAGGAGAGATAGAGAAGCCCAAATATGGGGGAAAACACAATCACATCCAGGAGTGGAAGAGCTGCAAAGCCACAAGGGAGGAGAGCTGAAGGATGGGCCAGGCGCAGAGCCTAGCCCTGGGAAGGAGAGCTCAGGCCACCTGAACACTGTCAGAGCACCCCAGAGCCTGGATGGAGACAGAGTGAGACTGGAAGGGGGAGGGGCTGGCTGCTGAAGGGAGTCAGGAGGAAGGGGAGGACCAGGAGGAAGAGGGGAAGGGGAGGCTGGAGTGTGCTGAGCCCTCTCCCATCACAGCAGCCCAGAGGGGCTAGGGTCCTCCCTCAAAGGGGGAAAACTGGCACTGTTAGGGGTGGGCATAGTGGAAAGCAACCACGCAGTGTCATAGGTCTCACACTCCTTTTAGACAAGGCCAGAAATAGCAGTGCCCAGAGCCTAGTAAATCTGTATCTTAGGGGTGTGCCCAGCTCCCTTTGGAGCAGTTGTGGCAGGGAAGAGAAAGTAGGAGGGCAAAAAAAGATGAGGTAGCGCCCCGAGGTCTGGCTGACCTTTTGGGAAGCCCACAGGGTATATATCTCCTGCTTTCTGGGACAGGTGGTACCCAGTGGGGTGGCTGAGTCCAGGGCTGCCATTGGACCCCCTGTGCAGAACCATGAGGCATCCAGGGCCTGGCACATCCCCTGTCCAACACTCACAACCTGGAGCTCCTCCACCAGGAAGGGATAGGGAAGGACGGTACCTGAGAACAGGACTGCTCTAAATACGGAGGAAGGTGTGCAGGGGAAGGTGTGAGGAGCAGGGCCAGGAGAGCATCAGCTGGCATGTAAGCCTCACATGCTGTGAATGCCTGCTGCACACTAGGCTCTGTGCTGGGAATGCAGGGTATCTCAGTCCCTGCCCGCAACGGCCTCCTGACACACGCACTGCCATCTCCTGATGAAAAATGAGCAAACAGGGAGCTGTGCAGCTCACCCAAAGTTACTCAGTTCCAGCTGTGCCCAATGCATGGATGGCATCCCTGTCCTCCTTCTCAGAAAGCAGATGGGGCAGAGGGCATCCTGGTCCAACCCAGGCCCTGGAACCAAGGCCTCTCACCCACTGTCCCTCCCTTTTCCCTTTCTTAGGGCCTGAGCCAGAGGTTAGCAACTCCTACCCACACTTGGGACAGGTTTTGACAGTCCAGACCCTGAAGCCTAGGCCATAGGGTGGGCCTGTCTCAGAAGGCAGCTGGGTGGACTCCAACCAGCTCTGGGTAGTCTGGCCTTCTGCCTGAGAGTCTGGGACCCCTACCTGGGTCTAGCTGGTGGCTGGGAAAGGGGGGAACAGAATGAGCACCAGCCTCTGTTGCTCATTAGTACAAGTCCTTATTGCAGCCTCCTCCTCCTCCTCCTCCTCCTCCTCCTCCTCTGGGCACCAGACTTCCAAACCACAGGCCTGTTGTCTAATAATACCAGCGACAGCCACCGCCACCTCCATCTGCCAGCCTAAAAATAATCCCTGCTGAGTCCAAAAAAGGCACAGCCCCCAATAGTCCCCCAGCCCCTCCTCCCTGACAAGCCAGGAGGCTCCAGGAGATTCCAGGAAGCTGGCAGAGCCGGGGCTCTCACAAAGTGGGAGGCACACGCCCAGCGGACCGCAGGAGGAAGGCGGGACCCAGAGCACAGTGAAGACCCAGAAAGGACAAGGCAGGGGAGAGACGTGGCCCAAAACGCTGACAGGCAGGTACAGGTCATTCCGGACACCCTTATGCCTTCAGGAAAGACCCCCACACCTAACCCAGCAGTGCCTCAGAGCATGTCCACCCTTCGGTGGTCTCCCCTTCGTACCCTCACGGCCCTCCCAGCCCCCTCTTATCACCAAACCTCTCTGGTTCAGTTCAGAAGCCAGGGGTCAGGGAGACCCAGCTGCTCCTTAGGGAGAGAGATAGAGAGAGGCACTGGGGAGGAGCAGGCTCCGCAGGTTCCTTCCTTCGGCAAGGGCTGCTCTGCCCTGACCCTTCTCAGCTGGGCTCCCCAGTAGCTGTGAGGCCAGGATGCTATTAGCAACCTTAATTTGCTCTCGGCTAGATTGTATTTCCAAGAGCCCTTTCCCCAGGAGCCACTGGCAGGAAGGAAGTCAGTAATTCAATCTCCGCTCTGCTCCTTTAATGGCTACTCAGCAGAGGCAAAGCCACACCCCCACAGCCCTTTTCCCCACCTGGGCAGAGGCCTGCCCCGCACTTTCAGGGCCCAGGTGCATGCAGCCCTGCAGCCAGCAGGCAGCCTGGCAAAGTGAGGGCGCCATGGGTTCGGCCCCCAGGAGGCTGGGCTCCGTGATAAGGTGCCAGATAGAGGCGGTAAGTCCGTGGGAAGCCGAAGTCCCATGTTTACTCACCAGGCAACGTCAACATTCCTACTCCGAAGCCAGAAAATGAAGACAGTGACTCACCTCGTACAGTCTGTGCCTGTGTGCAAGTCACTGGCCCCCATTCCATCTCAGGGGCACACACAACCAGAAGGGAGGCAAGGGGACTCGGGGGACAGAAGGCCAGGCTGAGCAGGGCCTTCTCAGAAGGACAGTCAGGCCAGCTGGGGCTCCGGAGCCCATCCCTGGCACACATGGACCCTTTCTCCAGAGCCCTCTTGGAGGCCCCATCTCCTGCTTATTCACGCAAGAGAGAACAGAAAAGCAGGAAGATTCCCAAGAAAAATAGGTCAGCTGCCTCCAGCAGACTGGGCTCACACCCGTGGGCAGTGCCTTGTGGGGGATGGGCATAAGCTGCCTCTCCAACCCTACAGTCCTCTGGAGTGAGCAACTGAGACCACAGCCACACCCTCAGGGAGACAGACAGGCCCTGGGCTGGGGCCTGCCACTCTCGTAACCTCTAGGCTGCCTGGAGTCCAGCACCGAGGGTACCGCGACTCGGCTTGAGGGGAAAGGAAGGCAAGGAATTGGCTCCAAGGGTCTCTACGCTCTCAGGCTGCAGTGGGGAGAGGAGTGGCCCCCATCTCATGCCTGCACACTAACTTCACCACCCTGTCACATTCCACGCATGTGCACACAAACACACAGGCACTCAAGCACTTGTGGGCTTGTACACATACAGGCTGCACATGTATGTGCACACAGGCATACATGCATGGACATGCACAGGTATGGGCACGTGTCCACACACATACAGGTGTGCACACATACACAATGCATATACATAAAGGGGCACATATATGCACACATGCAGCATACACATATGTACACACCTATAGGAAGATGTGTGTATACACACACACACACACACACACACACACACACACTTCTGGACAGCTGGAAGCTCTCAGCAGTTGCAGCTCTTTGACCATTCAGATCCACTCTGTGTGAAACAAGCTGCTTAACCTGTTCGAGGAAGCAGGTGGAAGGGGACGGCTCCCTGAGCACCCTGCACCCCAGCCTGAGAAAGCCACAGGATATGGAGAAGTGAGCTACCTTAAATCTCAGGCCCAGCCCTCTTTGGACCTTATCTCCCACCGCCACCCACATCTTGGCTCAGCAAATAGAAAGGCTGTGGGGACAGGAGGGAGCACCCAGCAGGGCTGAGGAAGAGAGAGCCAAGGAGGAAGACACAGCCTGCCAGGCCCCGGGAACCGGCTCCCAGGCTGGGGAGAGGGCAAAGGCACAGGAGGTTGGAGTGAGGGCCAGAGAGATGATGGGGCTCAGAATCTTCAGCGAGGCAGCCTCTGCTGCTTTGTAACCAGATCCCAGCTTTCTGTTTCAGAGCCATAAACGCAAAACCACTCCAGGTCTGGGACTCTGCAACTCCAAGACCAGCACATGCTGAGCCACAGGCCCGCAGCTAAAAGCTGATTTTGCCCCTGCCCCTCAGCCAAGCCCCCAACTCCCCAGCCTTCCCCAGGGCACATACTGCCAGATACACTCCTGTCCCCAGTGTGTGTGTGTTGAGGACACACACGCAAATCCACCCACTGACCACTTTCTGAGTTAAGTCCTTCTCTGCTGACAGGCTCACCACAGGGTCTTGACAGCAACCTCTGGGTCCAAACCTTCCACCCTCCCATCTTCATTACCAAAAGGAAAAAGCATAGGTCAAGGCCAGGTAGAGACTAGAGGGCAGTGGTTCAACTACCAGCAGGATCTGAGTCAGAACCCCACTGTATTTGGGGACACTGTAGTCAGGCATAATGCAACCACGGAATCTGGCAGACAGAGGAGGCAGCCGTGGGAGTAAAGTCCCAGACTTCCTTCCCCTATCCAAGGTCCACAGTCAGCTAAGCACGGCCCAGGGTCCTCCCACAGAGTGGGAACTCCCCGGGGCTGGCTCAGCAGCTGTCTGAGATACTGAGTCTACACCAATCACTGTCTTCCAGGTTCTGGGTACCACTCCAGCCCCTCTCTTCTCCATACTCCCCCAACCTGTTCACTGACCTTCATCACCTCCCAGACACACACATTCAAAGTCAAAAGGAGGAGCCCATTCCAACCTCTGTCCCGCACCCAAGGGCTGTTAGAGTGGAGTCCCAACATAGTACCATCCCTTTTGCCCCTCTGCAGGAGCAGCCCCTGCTATGGCCAAATCCTAAGAGTAGCATCTCAAAGTCCCTCCTGCTGAGGGATTTCCCCAGAAGTCACCTCTGCCAGTCAGGGAAGAGCTGAGCCCTCACAGGGAGCCTCACCAGCATCTGAACACCGGCTGGTGCTGCTCACTTGAGCGGGCGCCCACCCTCTCCCTCCAGAGGCTGCATGCTGGGAGCCCCCACCTCCCGGGCTGTGTCCTTCCATAAACCTCTGTCCACTGACAACATTTCAGTTTTGGAGACCTTGCAAAGGACTTCCGAGCAGCTTTGAGGTCTGCACACGTGTCCCTGGGATGTCAGGTACAAGAGGTTCTGCCCAGAAAAGGTCAGCCCAGAAAGGGGTCTTACTTCCTGGCACTGGTAGCCTTTCAAACTTCCCCGCAACACATTCCCAGCTCCCTTTTCCCAAGGGAAAGAAACTTAGGAGGATCCTGAAATCCCAGGGACATTCAATAATAATGTTAATGTTTACTGAGGACATACTATTTACCAGGTAGTTGTTTGTTTCCTTATAGCACTCATGCTAACCTAAAAATCCTAAAAGCACATACTGTTAGCATACTTTCTATTGAGGCAAGTGACATTTAGAGAGGCTGAGAATTTGCCCAAGGTCACAGGGTCAGCAGGTGGCAGAGCCAGCATTTGAATCCAGTCTTATGGCTCTAGATATAGGTCCTTAACTACCACACACAGAGCACTTGAGGCTAAAAAAGACCCTAAGACCAGTAAGGTCACCCTCTGCTTCCAGACAGAGGTACATGTCCAGCCATTCCAGACAGAAGGACCCTTCTGCACCCTGAAAGAAGGCATAACCTTCATGCCCGGCAACCTGCAATTTCGGGAAGCCCTTCCTTCTATCTTGCAATTCTGTGTGTTGCTGCAGTATGAACTCATATTCCTTTATTCTGGGTTTAAACTTGCAAAGAAGTCCATTCCCCCCACCCTGACTTGGGTTTGGAGGCTATTTCAGAGCCTTTCTACAGCGTCTCTTTTCTATTCAAAGATCCCAGCTCATCCTTTTGTGCTTTCAGGGACAGTCCCATAGCAGGAACATACCAAAAACTGGAGGGGAGGAGGATGCGGGCATTGGAAGACGACGAGGAAATGGGGGAGAGGATGAGGCTTCAGGCAGACTGTCAAGCGCAGCCCGAGCCACCTCACATCCACCCCCATTCAGTAAGCTTCCGCCACCACCTTGGCCTCAGTGTTCCCACCTGACAAACGAAGAGTTTTAAAACGACCCGGACCAACATGTCAGTTAATAAAATCACCCTTCCCTTCGCCCTCCGCTGTTTCTGTTTTCAGACACCATCACCCCCTACCCCAAGCAGAGGCTACATATTCATTCCATTCCAGAAAGTTTCTTGAAGCACTACCCGCTCCACAGACCGGTGACAAGAGAACCCCGTGAGAGGCGTTTCCAGTCCACCCGGTGCCCCGCGCTGATGGGAGAGGGTACTCCGTCGGCGGGTCCTGCCTGCTGACTCCCACCCACGGCGGATTCTCTCCCGCCGCCATCTCCTCCGGCTTGGTGAACTTGCCCGCAGCCAGGTCGTGTCTGTGGGCTGACAGCCCTGAGCTCACAGTCCTGGCACCCACCAGGCTCCGCTCCGACTTCCATACAAGGGCCGAGAGCCAGGGGTGCCACCCAGAGGCTTGCAGGTCGCTCAGCTCATCTCCAAAGCAAAAGCCGAGCGCTCACGCACGCATCACCCAACTCGGTGGCTTCCCCCTTGCGTCTCCCCCAGCTCAGAACCGGGAAAGAGAAAAATCCCCCCTCCGCTCGGATTCACAGCGTAGGGACCCCCTCCCCTCCCCCCGCCCCCAGCCAGCTCTGCCTCGCAGCCGGGGAGGGCAGCGTGGGGCCCGCGCGGCTGCGGCGCGCTCCCGGGGAACTTTTGCCTGGCAGGTGCTGCTCAGAGAGGCGCGGGCGCCTGCGGGGTCCAGCCAAAAGCGGACACTGCTCGAAGCCAGCCTCATCAATCCTCCTCCTCTCACGCGGCGCCCCTGCAAGGGGACTCGGACCTCCAGCTGCCAAGATGTGTAGGCAGGAGGGGTGCGAGCAGAGCTCTGGGAGCCCGCAGGGCCGCGAACCCGGAGCCTTGGACGCGTGTGCCGCGAGTCCCGGGGCTCCAGATCGCGCCTCCGGGCAAGCGCTCCTCGCCGCGAGGGGCTTGAGCGCGCTGCAGCCTGCCCAGAGACCGCAAACTCCCGCAGCCGGAGTTTCCCGCAGCTCTGGGAGGCGGCCACCGGGGCAGGAGGCGACTGGCTCGCTGAGCGGGTGTGTACTGTGGGGCCCGTGGTGGGCGCAGTCGATCTGGGTACCACGGCGTCCTTTCCCCGAGTGCTCGGCAGTCCGTGGGCTCGGGCCCCTTCCCTCCCACCCCTCCAGCCCGCGGCCCCCAGTCTCTCCCCGACAGTGCCCCCGGGCGCGCCTGGCCCAAGCGGGAGCCCGAGCCTCACACGCAGGAAAGAGCGCTGGGGAGCCGGGGAGATGGGAACCCGGGATCCGGGGAACCCGGGGGCCGGGTGCGAGGGGCGGAGGACGCCGGGAGGGGTAGGGAGGGACGCCGCACTTCAACTCACCTTGAGCCGCAAGCCCTCGGGTGCCGATCACACTTGCTATGAAAGTGGCCACATACCAAATCATAGTACTACCGCGCCAGCCCGGAGCCTCATCCTATCGCAAAGTGCTCCCGCGCCCGCACGCGCCTCGCGCCGGAGCGCCAGCCGAGCGCCCGCCGAGCGCCTCCTACGCCCCGCGCCGGTGCTCCTGCAGCCCGGGCGGCCAGCTCTCCATCCCTCCTCGGCTCCGCTCCGCTCGGCGCGCGCCTCCCAGGCCCCGGCGCAGCGGCACCTGCACTACTCGCCCGGGCGGAGCGCAGCCAGGTCCACGGTGAAGCCTAGCCGGGCCGGGCCTCCGGGACCGCCCCCGCCGCCCGCCTATTGGGCGTCGCCCGCCTTCCGGGGTTCCGATTGGCTCGGCCGTCCGCCCGTCGCTGAGCGAAGGAGGCGAGCCCATTTCAAGGTGCGTTGAAGTGTGGCGAGCACAGAGCCGCAGAATCATGCGCATTGCCGGGGAGAAGGCGGTGTAGCGTCTCTGCCCGCTTCTCTCTCGGCTCACGCTGCATGGCAAGTTTCTGATGAAGGAAATGGTAGCTTCTAACGGGACCCTGACGAGTCTCAATTTCCCGGGACAGGTCTGAGGGGAGTGGAGCCCCCGCCCACCCATGGAACCCAACATCCGGTTTTCATCCTGCAAAAAGCAGTTCCCGAGAGGACCATGCTGATTCCGTGATGGGGAAACCCGGGAGCCGGCGGCCGGCGAGAGCCGGGGAACGTCCTTTGCCGGAAATCTTTTCAAAGAGGTCACGCGCCGCTTCCCCACCCCCACTCCCACCGCACCCAGACACGTCCCCAGAGCGGCGCACCACCCCCTCCAAACGTGATGCAGGCCGGGGGATGACTAAAATGACCTCTCAAAGTCGCTAAGATTGAGTGAGTCATTGGCTCAGCTGCGAAGTGCCACAGATCCCTCAGGAGCACGCGTGCACACACACTCCACCCCCAGTGCTGGTCACTGCTGCTCATCATTACTGAATCCCGACTCTGAGCTGTCAAAGTTGGGGTTTTTTTCCCCACTTCTCCTGATAAAGGCTGCTTCCTCACGCACATGGTTCCTCCCCTCCCCACCTTACTCGGAGCCCAGCCCCGTCTCGGCCATACGAAGCCAAGATGGGTTTCGGGAACGCTTTAGGAGTCTATGATAGCGGAGACCCAGGGAAAGGGAAGGGGCTTCTTATCCTACAGAGAAATGTAAATAGGAAAGTGGAAGGTCTTCGTTTGTCCCAGTCGCCCTACCCTAGCTTCTCTCCGTCCCCTCCCCCAATACAGTTGTATTTGCAGAAGAAATAAATGAATGTCATGGAAACATCTACTACAAACAATCACCTCACACCAGCGCTCGGAGGCTGCAGTGAAGATGTTTGTTCTTTCAAGGAGTGAAGGCAGTGGTAAGAATCACATCACTCCCTGGGGTGGGCTGTTGGCCAAGGAAGGAAGACAGAGGGTCAGAGAGCCACAGCGCAGGAATTTCATCCTTTCAAAGCACTCGTTAGCCACAAAGCCCTGGCTCCAGGACACGAAGCTCCCAAAAGAACAAAAAGGAGATGTGCTTCTGGGAAAGCCTGCGCACAGGTACACACACATGCACAGAAAGTGGCCTTGAACACTGGAGGTGCAGCCTTCCCTGACACTGGAACCCTGTTAGCGCACAGCCAGCTGGGAGGCAGAAAACAGAGAAGTGAGCACTTGGATAAATGTTGAGGGTCTGGCTAGGACTCCTGAATAACCTCCTCCTACCCTACCTACCCCTCCACTCATGCAAACACGCTCAAGATGCATAACTTGGGGCCATCTCTTCCTGAGCCATGATTTTGGCTCTCTTCTTGAGCAAACATGCCTTTTTGGGGGACAATGAAGTGAGCTGGAAGCTCCAGGTCTCATTGATGCAGTAATTTCCAGGTGGCATGACCTGGAATAACTCCACCACCAACACACACACACACTTACACACTTTCCTAGGGTCCCAAGACTGTAAAGACATATTGGAATCCATTTGCAGAATTGGTCATAGCAGGATTCTTCTCCTCCCAAAACCTCTAAGCAGCTACCTGTCGCCTAGAGAGAACTGCTGGATCCCCAAAGGCTGGCCCCAGTTCCTCACCATTGTTAGGTATGAAGTGGGAAACATCAGGTCTCAGAGAAACCCTCTCCTAGGGGCCTGTGGGGCAAGAAAAAAGATGGAGTCAATCTCACCATCCATCATGACTGCTTTGTTTGGCCATCCATTTGTCCTACTCAGGGTTGTGGCTTCTGCTAGAAAAGTAAACCTGTCAATCAGAATGGATGGTGTGGACATGGAGGCTCATGCCAGTAGTCTCAGCTACTTGGGAGGCTGAAACAGGAGTATTGCTTGAGCCCAGGTGTTCTAGGCTGCTGTGATCATGCCATTGCACTCCAGCCCTGGTGACAGAATGAGACCGTGTCAAAAAACAAACAAACAAAAAAGGTATCTGTCAAGTTGGAAAGAAAAAAACACATCACAAGCTTGAGAACATAAGTTGGGTTGGGAAGGGGTTTGAAGAAGCTATCTAAAGAGAAGAATAAATTTCTGCTGGATAAGTCTACTAAAAATAAAGTAGAACAAGGGATCAAGGCAGAGAAGAAGGAGAGGAAAATTAAGATAAAAAGGAAAAAGTTCATCATCATCATCATCATCATGATCAGACCTGTCTCAACTGGGTTTCAGATCAGCTAAAGAGACATATACTGTATCGGCTTACAATGAGGAGTGAGTCTGATCAAATCTTCCTTTTGGCATATGGCTGAGCTTTGGACCCAGAAAGGATGGCTGCCCCTTCCTAGCATAGACACATCCAGTTGAGTGTTCAAGGGGAGAATGGATCCCAGATGTCCAAGAGGGACATAAGGGAGGAACATGAGCCACTCCCCTGAATAGCTCCTAGGTGTACCTGATAGTCATCAATGTAACTGATAAATGCAGTAATCTATCCAGGAATGCTATGTATCTCAGGTCTGGGAGTGTCTGTCATCTTCTTTTAAGAGGCATTGACTTTTTGGAAATACAAAACAATAGTCTTATCAGTGTGTCTATGAAAATAACCATAGGTAGCCACCTACCTGCACATCCCTAGAGGCCTTTGGAGGACGAGTGAGAAAGGAGGCGGAGCTTCAAATGTAGGAGAAAAGGAAACTATCCTCATTCCCTCTTCATAGTAACTGAACGAGGACTCAAAAACAATAGTTTATTCGCCTGTCACTTCTCACCTTCCTCAGTGGTTCCAGACCTCATTGCAGAATCTAGGGTGGAACAGTTGTTGGGACAGCTGCTTGTGAAAAGGAGAGGCAGCTCTAAATCAAAGCAATTTACTCAACACGAACACCCAAGAGCATGCTTAGTGTTTACATAAATAGGGAACTGTCTTGCCATGTAAAAACCCAGCCCAAAATATCATGGCTTAAAGCAATAAGGTTCATTCGTTTGCTCATGAATCTGCAATTTGGACAGGGGTTGGTGGGGACAGCTCTTCTCTACTTCATGTGGCATCAGATCCACGGGGGTATGGACCGCTCCCCTTTCAGAATGGCTCATTCACGTGGCTAGCAGATCGACGCTGGCTGTTAGCCAGGGCTGCCAGCAAAGGGCTGTGGTTCTTCCTCAAGTGGGTCTCTCAGCAGGCTGCCTGGGCTTCCTCACAGCATAGTGGCTAGGTTACAAGAGCCGGCGTCCCAATAGAACCAGGCAAAAGGCATATTACCCTTTATATCCCAGCCTTGGAAGACACATAGCATCATTTCCATCAGGGTCAAAAACCTGCCTCAATTCAAAGGGAGAGGACACAGTTCCCCACCCATCACTAGAGCAGTATCCCTGCCACATTTTAAGAAGAGCTTATGCGATGGGGGAGAGTGTTACAGCCATCTTTGGATGATACAATTCACAATGAAAACAGTCTTCAAAATTGAAGCAAAAAATGACCTCTAGAGGAAACATCTAGAAAGGTATATTAGAGTTCTCCAGAAAAATAGAACTAATAGGATTAATATAGATATCAGTATTGATATCAGTCCAGATATAATAGTTATGTAACCAGTTGTATTATAGAAATCAGCACGTGCAATTATGGAGGTTGGGAAGTCCAGTGGTACGCCATCTGAATGCTGGAGAACCAGAGGAGCTAGTGG